GCGTAGACCGTATGTACCTATGCGTTTCGTCCCAGGCAGGTACATTGCGCCTCTTTATTTACTAGCCCTTCTTACCTTCTGCTGTCCATTTCTTCTCCCCTCCCCTCTCTTCCCCTCTTACTACCTCTTCGCCGCCTTCGTGCCACTCCCCCTCCTTCCACACTCTGCCGCGGTGATATAGCACTGTCAAGTCTGCCTCGAGTCTCCATTGGCTCGCAATCAACGTCGACATCCCCCCCACCATCAGCTGTTATGGCGTCATCCGCGCCCCCAAGCAATGGCTCAAGCCGCAGCAGCCTAAATCCCTTTGCAAAGCGCGATGAGCATTCCTCCCAGGCTATACTCCTCTACAAAATCACCACATCGCTCAGCTACCTGCTCCTCGTCATAACAACCTTCTACTACACGTTCCATGCCCCGAGTGGTCACGGCGCCCACCGCTTCTGGAAGAACAACATCCCCACGCCATTTGCACAGAGCAGCCTCTTCACGTCGATATACTGGCTGATTCTATTTGCCGTGCAGCTCGTGTATGCCTACGCCCTGTACATGAGCGACACGGTATACGTGACCGCCGCAGCAAATATTGGCTCCCACTTTATTGCCAACAACTTGCTGCTCTTTGGCTTTGTCAATCTATTTGTCCGCAGCCACTTTTGGCTCGCAGAGGTGCTGCTCGTCATCAACTTTTTCAATCTAACTTTTGCCTACTTCCGACACAGCACCACGCCCCGCGCCATCCATATTGGCATCGTCAGCGGCCCACTTGCATGGAACTTTGTCGCCCTCGACTGGTGTGGTGCCATTGCCCTGCACACAAACCATGAGGCTTTCCGCATTGTTTGCAATCTCTTCATCTGGGGGTGGCTTGCCTTTGGCCTGTTCTTCCTTGTAGCCTACAAGGACTACACCATGGGATTTGCCCTGTCGCTTCTGGCGTTTTGTACGTCCCTTTTCCTTTCCCTTCGTCCTGCATGAAAAAACATATGAAAAAAAAGAAATACGCTAACATTGTCCCCATGTAGCAACGGGAGTGGGTCAGTTTCTCACTCGCCCACATATTCTGCAATTGCAGTGGATCTTTGCTTTTACTATTGGCGGTCTCTTGTTCGTGCTCAGTCTTGCCGTCGGCGTGCCGGGTCTGCTGGGCCGCGATCCTTTCCCACGCGGCCACGTGGTCAGCGAGGATAGGGAGAGGGCACCACTGCTGGCTGATGACTGAAGAGCAGACAAGGGCGGGGTTCATGGCTGTTGAGCGTGATAATGATCGCTTTGGGCGTGCTTCCTTTCCAACAAGGTGTAAGTTTGTGTTGGAGGATTGAGTCACACTACGTTAGTGTGCATTTCTTTTGATAGCTTGTTATTTCTCCTAGCCCATGGTTCAAGCATGCTCTTCTGGTACGTCGTGGACCTGATGAAATGGCAAGTCATGCCTGACTGGTAGGTGTATTATTACTCTATGTACACACTCCGCTCTGCAAATTGTTCAAAGCAGCAAGTCTTGATTTCCATCATTGACCCCTGGACTAATCACCATATGCTGCGGCTCATTCTGATTAACTACCCATCCCCCTCCAATCCCCCCGACTGGATCCGCAGTGATTGGGCTTCCGCCAAATGAGCTCTGTCGGCCCACACTTGCAAAGTACATGTCGGCATCATTCACGGCACCCGCCATGCCGTTGCCGTTGCTGGGGCTCAGACTGCCATTGCCATTCGTCGTCACGTCCAGCTTAGTCCGCTCCGCCGCAGAGCGCTCCCGGGCTTGCTGAGCTGCCTTGAACGTTGGCAGCTCTTCCTTTTGCAACGCGGGCGAATCCTGTAGTTTTCGTGGCCGCGCGCTGCGGAACACTTGGTTGACTGGCTTCAGGTACACAGTTGCCAACGTCCCTACATTAAGGCACATTTCCTCCAAAGTGCCAGGGTCCAATTTCTCAGACTCTTCAGCTGTAATCGGAGGCTTCTCCCCCATGACCACCTTTTTCGCTTCCTCGGGTGCTGAAGAAAGAAGACGCCAATACATATAGCCTCGGTCCCGTAAGTCGGGATTGTCCGTTTCTTCCGTTGCCCACTTGAGCACCTTGGGCACGATGGCCGACCCTCGAGTAGGTCTCTGGATGAACAGCTTGACTGTGGCCGTAAGAAGAGCCAACTGCACTTCGTGTGTTTCTTCTTGGAATGTATCCAAGAAGTCCTCAAGAAGAACATCAGAGTCTTCGATTCGGTCTGCATACTCACCAATCACCCAGATCATGGCCGCCTTTGCTTCGGGTTCATCAAGCGAGTCGAGGTTCTCGCATAATGTCGAGATGATGGACTCATACTGATTGGGATATTTGCGGAAGATGTTCCGGATAACGACCGTCGCTTCTTGCACAATGTACGATACCTTTGTACTGACGAGTGAGAGAAGAGTGCTGATGCAGAGCTGGGCTGCTGGAGCGATCTTAATGGCGAGCTTGCCAATAGCACGGACGGATTTTCGGACAAAATCAACATCAATTTCAGTGGCATATCTAGTTGTTGTTAGTTGAGTAGGCCAAGGAAAGTTGAAGGGCAGAAACTCACTCTGCCAGCTCAGTCAACACCTCCTTGATGTTGCGCTCAGTGGCCAGCATGAAGATGAGCTCGAGCTTGGTGACCTTGACATAAATGGGGTCGTTGTATTTACAGAAGAAAACGCGGATATCGTTGCGCAAAACCTCCGGTCGACGTTGTAGGATAAGAAGTGCATTGCGAAGGGCCAGGTACTGAATCTCCGGGCCTTTGGAAAGAAGGGTGACTAGCGGTGGGGAAAGCTTGTTACATAAAGAAGTGATGACCTTTTGGTCGGATATATAGTTCATTAAGTAAAGGATAACGCGGATGCAGGTAAGAACGACGGCGGAATTCGAATGTGAAAGGCGAGGAGATATGCGTTCGGCGAGGATAGCGGCTTCGCTGTTGTCTTGAGGAACATAGTTCATCATGGCTTCAAGGATATATGTCTGGCCCCATTCAGAGCAGTCTGGCAAGATGGAGACAATCTTGGAGGCGCTAGCATAGTCGATGGTGAGCTTGATGTTCTCGCTTCGTTCCCAAATATCCATGAGGCTGGCGAGTGCACTCGACACTACGGTGGGGTTCTCGTCCCTCAACATGCCATTGAGCTTATCGATGAGGTCCGACTGCTCGACCAGATGTCGGTCGTGGTCGTAGAGTTTAGCGACGCAAAAGGCGGCGGTTTTTCGCACATAAGGGTCGGCGTCTTTGAGAAGGTTCTTTAGGTGTGGAACAGTGGCTTCGACAAATTCGCGAACATGCACGTAGGACATTGTGCGTAGGGCAAGGGCGCGCACGAGGGGGTTACTGTCGTTCATGTCCTCCTGTATGATGGGCAATGCCTTAAGGGCAATGTCAGGTTTTATCCTGGCATAATTGACCAAATACAGAAAGCACCTGCGTCTTCGTCAGCAGGGTACATGCAGCAAATTCAGAAGGTTACGCACATCTTCTTGATTTCCAGGCTAGGTATATGCATGCAGCCAACGATGTCTGGGAAGAGGGCGACCATGTCGTTGTTGCTCATGGTCATGTTTGCGACAATCTTCTTGAGGGCCGTCTTCTTTGCCGAGAAGTTCTTGTCCTTCTTGCCGCCGCTGTTGAGCTCGAGGCGGAGTTCGGCGACCTTGCCCTGTGGAACGGGTGATGGGTGTAAGCGTAGGCTATCGAGAGCGTAGGGGAGAAACATGGTGGAGGGATGGACAGAAGACGTACCCTCGCGAAGAGCTTTGCATCCTGGCCGCCCTGGCTCATGGTGGGCTAGTTATCCTGATATCTGCCTGGCCGTTGCGCAATCAACAAATGGACCCTCGCCCAGCTGGCGCCCCCCTCTGTTGGCGGATGCGGGTGGTGGTAATGCGGGGTTTTGAGAGATTAGCTTATTCGCTCGTGTGTCGGACGTGGATGGCGTAGCGCATGTCGTAGCGAGGGTGGCAGAGGGATTGGGGCGGGCGTCCGGGGGATTGGGAGACGGGGGTTCGGACGAGTGGTGACTTTTATGGATGGAGACACGCCCGGCGGCGGTCAACACGGAGGAGGGGACGTGCATCCCTGCCAAGCACTCCCGCACTTCGTCTCCACCTACGGCGCGCTCCGCACCACCGCAGCCGCAATACCATCACCACCGCCGCCACCATCCGCGTCTTGAAGCCACAGCCACAGCCAGGCACACATCTACGCCCATAACCACCCGTCCACTCCTCGAGTACAAATGGCTGCTGCCCCGCCTCCACCCCCACAATGGGTCGTCGACCTCAACTCGACACCCGCATCCAAGCCCAAGAATCCCGCTCTCATCGACCCGCCTGGCTACACGGCCTCGCTGACCAAGAAGGAGCGTTCCCAGGCCTCCAAAAATCAGCGCGTGCCTCCGACCGCAGACGAGATGGACACGCTCAAGATGAAAAAGGCCTGGGAGGTTGCCATTGCCCCCGCTAAGCAGCTGCCCATGAATGCCTTTGGTACTTATTTCCGCCTTCCATTACACCTCCACCTTCACTAACTAGGCAAACAGGCATGTACATGACTGGAAATACGCTCCAAATCTTCTCCGTCTTTATGGTATTCACCCTCTTCAAGACGCCCGTCCTCGCTGTCCTTGGCCTCCAACGCACCTTTGCCCCATACCAAACCCCCGGCACCGCCGGCCGCCTGCTCGGAGTCAAACTCGTCTATATTGCCTGCAACCTGCTCATGTTAGCCCTCGGAATCTGGAAGGTCAATGCAATGGGTCTGCTGCCTACGACGCGGTCAGATTGGCTGGCATGGGAAAGCGAAAGAACATGGTCAGAAAGAGCTGTGCCCCAGGAATGGCTGTAGCCTTTTTTTATTCCAGTTGGAATACACAAATTGAACATATGAAGCCCTCTGTGTCCATGGCCTCTACAAACCGATCTTCTGTTAATCCGTTCCTTTCTCCTTGATTCTGATCGTCTCTTTGCTTTTTTTTTCACAACCGCCTAATCCCTAGTCTTCGTCTCCACATTTTCCACACCAACAACATCAACTGACCCATCGTCCCTAACGACCTTTGTCGCTTCCTTCTGACTCCTCAGTTTGAGAACTAAAGGGTTTCGCACTGCACACTCGAGTTCTCCGGCTGTCGTCAAATCTGCATGGAGCAGCCTCATGATGTCTCTCGGCATCGTTTCGGGACCAACGTGTCGCATGTCTTGCGCTATGCCTACTAGTGACCTTTGTAAGCCTTGTATGTCCATGTCTCCTTCGTAATCAGCTGTAGTCATGCTCTTGATCTGAGCTAGAAGAAGGTTTTGCTCGCCTTGTTTTTCTCGGACTCGACCACGAACGTCCCGTTTGGAACGTCTAGATGGGGCGGCGTCGCTCTGCTTGACCATGATTTCTTCCAAGACCACCAGCACGCCTCTCACATCCAGGGCTGTATCTTTTGCCGCTGCTGATGCACAATCTGAAAAATTAATCAGTTGCACATCCGGGTACCCACGATACCGATGGTGCATGTACACCGGGTACAAGCTCAACATGACATTGGACGCCTCGATCCTGCCATGCACCAGGCCATGCTCATGCAAGAAATTGACCGCCTCGATCAAAGTGATACAGACATGCGCCATCAGCCAGTCTGGAATGTGCCCGCTCCTACAGCAGCTGCTCCTTTCACTGAATTCCTCAAGCGTGGGCCCAAAGATAGGGCGCAAAACCATGTACGATGTCTCTGGCGCCTCTGTGTGCTGAGACCCCAGTACATATGACCCTATATGCAGCGTGGTCACTTCCCCGGCCATTCTATGGATCTCCTCTACCACCTCGACTTCTCTCCGCACCTTCTCTTTCTCCGTAGACATCTTGACTACTACGAGCTGCGGTAGCATCTCTATCTGCCCCGAACGTAGTAACGATGTTCGGTTTTCCTGTATATTTTGGTATAGCACGTGTCCAAGCCTCTCATACTCGAGTAGACTAAGTTGCTGCTGTAGGCGTTCGTTCCCAGTCATCTTCCCAAACGCCGCCAAGATTGGCGCGCATCGGTTTGAAAGATCTTCGTCAATGTCCATTGTGGGCTCAGAGGAGGAAGGAAGAGTGCGTTGAAGACAGAGATATACCCCTGTACTTGAAGAGCTTTTTGAAAGAGTCTTCACTACACGAAATACGGCGCCTGGCGGTCGCGCCACTGTAGGAGTTGGTTCCGACATGATTTCTTTGGTGTTGAGAATCTTCACGGTGTGGAGTCAGGATTGGGAAGTTGGCAAACGAGGGGTGGGTGAGAGGAGAATTACATATTACTGAATTTACGACTATGATAAAGTTGGTTTGCGGGGTGAAGACGGAATGAGGTGAGGCCCTAGTGATGGTGAATGGGAAACATCTGACCAACTATTGTGGGTTACGGTCCATAACATAATGGCTATTGTCTGTTTGCTCCAAGTATCCGCTACATGCAACTTGCTTCACATGTATCACCGATCTAGTTAACCAGAAGCTGACCTTGTGCGGCCGTACTCTTTCAACGACTTCTCTATCCTCTCAAACAAACCTTCACGCCACCCTCCAGCTCCATCTTCCTTATGACCGACGCCGTAGTCAAACTGCCATGCCAATATACTCTCTGCCCTCGCTCCATCTGTTGCCTCGAGAGTGCCCACTGCTACATCAATGAAGCGCGGTCTCGTGCTCACAGTATAGAAGATAGTAGTAGAGCACGTATTGCAGAAATATCGATGCACACCAGGCGACGATTCGTAATATACCAGAGAGCCAATTCGTGCATCCTTGCTATTGACCAAAGCAGCCAACTCTTGCATGTTTGATGGAAATTCGTTCTCGTCCGTAGAGACGGGGAAAGAGATGTGCTGCAGATCTGCAAATGTCCAACAGAAGACGTCGTTTCCAGTATGTAACCGACAGCTATCGCAGCCACAGAGCTCGGCCTTCAGCCTTCTACTAGTTGGATCCACGTTCCAGGGTAATTGCTCAGTGGCGACATTATCGTAGTTGCCGCGATTCAGGACGAGATCTACGCCTCGGCATTTACATCGAATGGGTATGGCGTTTTGTCGCTCCGTAATTGTATCTGTTGATTTCAACTGCAATTGCCAATCATCTGCCAGCTCTTCTGCACTATCGCCTCTAGTTTCGGTCTTGAAACACTTCAAAGGTGGACCGGAAGCATTGATATACTTCATCCATACGCTTGCGCCTCCATCTTTTGTATCGCCTATGAATCCCATGTGCGACCATTTCACCACTTCCACATCGCACGCAAAGTTGTTTAGTGCGCCCGTCACCATGAGCAGCGGCTTCGTCTCATCTTTGAAGGCGCCAATCATGGGAGTAGAGCATTTTGCGCAGAACAGAAGGTTGAATGCTGGACTGAAGTTGAAGAGCTTGTAGCCTGAGAGGTCAACTGTAGAGCGTGGCGAGGGCCAGTACGCTAGCGAACTGTAAAGAGAGCCCGATACATGCCGACAAGTGTCACAGTGGCAGATATGCGCTTTCAGAGGGAGGCTGAACTTGGGGATAGTGGTGGTATGAACGTGTGTCTTGCAAAGACAAGATGCTGTCAAAGTGATTGTATCGTCGGTCATATCGGCGGTAAAGAGGTTTGGAATTGTAGAGTTGAATAAAGTGGGAGCTAGAGTAGCCGACCACGGTATCGAAAATTGTAATTGCTATATTTGATTGTAATTAGGCATCATCGTATTTTCTTGAATACGGGCAACGTCATAGGGTTGGGAGATATTGGTCAGCATTGCGGGGCTGGCAAACTGACGTCTCGTACCTCGCATTCATGCACAAGGCCACAAAGATATGTGATCAGTCATTTTATGGTAAGATTTGGCAAGCCCAGTATGCATCGCTACATCTTCACAACCCGCATGACGTCGAACAAGCCGACTTTCTGCTTTTCTGACAGGCCATCTTTCAATGCGCCAGTTACGTGCTCGCTGACTCTTCCACGCTGGTTGCTAACAACTGTCGTCTGCCCTTTTTTGAACTCGCATGTCCGGCCTGTCGTTCCCGAGATCCACATCTTAATAGCATTGAATGATGGGTTGTCTAGAAGGCTTGTTCCGTATGAGGAGGCCCACGGGGCGTCGACTTGCCAAGGTTCTAGACATCCACGAAGATCTGCTGAAAACGCTGTGACGACGATAAGCTGCCGTTGCTGTCTTGATGCAGAAGCACCAGGGGCTAAGCTGCTTTCGCCTGCGCTTGGATTCTTCAGTTCGTCGACTAACCACTGGAGGTCTCGCTCGTGTTCGGCGTTGTGCTTCTCTACACTCCAGTCTTGAATCCCATCGACCTCGTCAAACTCTGGCATCTTGCGCAAAGCAGCGCTTGCATCCGACTTTGGAATCTGACTCCAGAGAGTGCACCCTAACAGTGTGATGTTCGTTCCCGGCACATCACTTCTCGTCTCGTAGAGTATCTCCAACCTGCCTTGTGTTGCTGGCTCTTTTTCCAGCTGATGTGCTAACTGCAGGCCTTCCATCCATCCAACTCCATGGAATTCGAGTGCCCCAAGAACCAAGTAGACTTTCTCATAAAGGTTACATCGCCGTATGAGAAAGGCGAGATATTGTTCATAGTCAAGTAGGCGGCCAATATTTCCAGCGAGGATTAAATACGGCGCTGCTACTGGTATGTGAAAGGTAAGATACTGTGATTCGTGGTCAAGGTGGAGATCCGAGAGAACTTGGAATGAAGTCTTGGGTCCGGAGAAAAGGCCTGACAGCCGCCGCATCTTGGAAATTTGCATATCAGCCTTGTTGTAGATTGTTGCGTAATCCAGGGCCAGCCAATAGGATGAGATGATCGCGACTGCGATGGGGACCGTGGAAAAATATGTATGGGTATGAACCAAACAAGAAGAAGGAGAAGAGCTGAAGAAAGCGGGAATTATACTAGTCTACTGCGCACAAACGAACGGGATCGCGTAGCTCCGTCTGATGCGCAGCAGCTGAGAAAGGCTGAGCCTTAGAAAGCTGACAATGCAGCATCGAAGCCTACCGCATCTTCTCGCACATAACGGTGCAGAGGCCTACACCGCACAACAACAACATCCATCGCTGTCAACCCTGTTGTGTCCGAAATTAGATGCAAAGGTCCTCTTATGTTGCGTTGTCAGTGTTGCGAGGCGGTGGCTGTGGGAGAAGAAGGATCCCGCGAGCGACTGAATTAGAATCTGCCTAAGCTGAGTTGAGATGGCGGCCTTTGTCAGCTCCACCATCTCCGCTCACCTTGCTTGTTAGTCCTACTCGCTACGCCAACAGTAATGCATGCCATCGTCAACTCATTTGCAACGGTCCTGCCGTCTTGGGATCTTTGATTACCTGACTCTCGTCCCACCCGCTAAGCAAAGCCTTCCATCATACAAGCATCAAGCCTGCCCGTTCAGTCGTAGGTAGCTAGCGAATCTGACTTTGACGAGCCCTAGTGGTGGGCATTCTTTGTTTTTCTTTTTCTGCATAGTTATACGCTCATGCGACATCCCCTCTCCTCTCTTAGTTGCCATCTAGCTGATTTACTTTGCGCGTCAAGAGGACCTTGCATTACGAACATACTGCAATCCATATCAACAAATTGGGAGTACCAAACTTCCCCTCGAAAGTACGAGTCACGTGATATATACTCTTCGCTTTGGCTTGGTATTCCCCTCTGCCTCGGTCCCGGGAACACAAAGTAGCCGCCTTTCGAGAAGCCGAGCGTATTAGGCGCAGACACAAGACGCGGAACATTCCTATGGTTCCGCGATATTGGCTTGGGACTCAAGAGCTGAACATACGTTATCCGGTTAAATGTACGCTGTCTTTGCACATCCCCTGCTATGCAGCTTACCGGCTGGTTCCAAGTATCCTCGCAATGACATCGATCTTTGATCCCATAAAAATCTTTACGTTTGGCGTCCTTGGTTGATTTATTCAGATAAACTGTCTTTAACCTACCCCCAATATCACCTACAATTTTGGAAAGGATTTGGTAAGACTCCAAACCTACTTCAATGGTGAGGCTGAAGTGTTAATGCATCTAGCGTCTCACCATAGACGGGTCGAGATTGCACCTGCGCGATCTATCAACCTGGGACCTGGAACCATTCAACCAGTAATGGCTAAGAATAGTCTTGCTGTATGCATGCCAAGTATGAGTTCCAGGTACTCGTTCAATATATCACTGCATCTGCTTGAAAGGCTACACCGGCCCTTTTGACCGTCGGGAGAATGTTTGCCAGGTGACTTGTGTTTGTACTGGGATACAAGTCAATTCCACACAGTCAATTCGAGGGCATGTGGTTGTGGTATGCGCTGGCATGGAGCGTGTCACACGTTCAATTACCTAGCGCATGGGAAAGCTAACGAGAAGGGGGGCAAATCAAGTTCGTCATGTAACAATTCCTCAGACTACGCTAGAAATTTGTATTACACACCAGACTCAAAAAAGCATGTGTAATTTAAGTCAGGTATTACAGCAGCTTTCCGCAACTAGTTTTACCTCTCGTATCTGAGGATCCGCCATCCAGGCACAAGTTACCTTCCCCTTTGCTCATCTGGCCAATGATTTAGGCTGCATATCCCGCTCCGCTGTCAGCTACCATGCGACTGGAAACTATGTTTCTTCCTTGACCATGTGGTCAAATACCATGCAACTAAAGTGCGGCAAAATCGATAGATCAACGCCACGAGGGCCCTACGGCATTCATCAGGCCAGGTGCAAAGCCGAGGGTCTTCGTATTCATCTATTCCGAGTGTCTAGAGCTCATGGTGGCTTTGATAGTCGAATTTCAATCTAAGATGTCTAGCAAATCATCTTCGATTCTGGTGTGCGTAGGCTGACTTTGCTTTCGAACTTGTACCCTGGCATGGAAAAAAGGGTGATATAAAAGCTGTTGTGATCACAACATTGTATCGATCCAGAGTCGACATCATCTTTTATCCATTCGTTTCAACATCATAAACCACAATGAAGGCTCTCTCCTACCTCAGTTATGCCCTTCTGGCATACATCCCCCTGGCCGAAGCTCACCCCGGCATGGGTGACACCATGGCCGAAATGCGCTACCTAGCCGCTCGGGAAAAGCGCCAGACTTCCAAAGAACTCATTGGCGATCTCAAGACTCTCGCAGATTCTAAGCTTACAGCTATCGGAAAAGACATCAAAGCCATTATCTTGGACCAGAAGTCTGCCGAGTCTACTGTCATGGATACATCGATCCCAGTTGGCAACATCGGAAGTGCAGCTTGCAAAGCTGATTTGTGTTGCCATTGGAAGTGGCTCGCATATGAGATGACAGCCAAGTTTAACGGTACCTCCGGTCGTTGCAATAAATTCGCCCGTCAAGCTGTGCGTCTGGGCTTCCACGATGCAGGTGTCTGGTCGAAGAGCAGTGGCTACGGTGGTGCGGACGGCAGTATTCTCCTTAGTGATGAGATGACGAGAACCGACAATAATGGGCTTGCAGCCATTGCCGACCAGACAAAGAAGTGGTACACTAAATACAACCAATATGGAATGAGTATGGCAGACATTATCCAGTTCGGCGCCAATGTCGCGACTGTCGTTTGCCCGCTCGGCCCCCGTCTCCGCACCTTCGTTGGCCGCAAAGACAACAGCAAAGCGGGCCCCACTGGTCTTTTGCCTGGGGAGAAGGACTCGGCAGATAAGCTCATCAAGATGTTTCAAGACAAGACTATCGACGCCCATGACCTCGTAGCCCTGGTAGGCGCACACACCACGTCGCAGCAGCACTTTGTCGACACCAGTCGCGACGGTGACCCACAAGACTCGACACCCGGTGTATGGGATATGGCCTTCTACCCTCAGACCACCAACAACGCTCCGCCTCGTGTCCTCAAGTTCCAAAGCGATATCAACTTGAGCAAGGACTCGAGAACAAGTACATCCTGGGCGCAGTTCAGCGACAGGGCTACTGCACAAGGAAGGTGGAATTCAGTAAGTATTTTCAATCATGCTGTTCGAGAATCCAAGCTGACAGAATGATCAGGACTATGCCAAAGCCTATACGCGTCTGTCGTTACTCGGTGTCAACAACATCAATGATCTCAAGGAATGCACCGGTGTCCTGCCTGCCGAGCGCAAATCATTCGTCAACGAAGACCAAATCGTGCTGGATAGGTGGCTACAAGGAGAGTTTGATCAGCTCAATAACTTGGTGGATGATGCTATTCAGCTGACAGGTGTCATTTCGGGTAGGGACGCGGAGCCGTAGAGTGCTCGCATCGTATCATTACGTATGAGAAATTGCTGGTTACGATATGTTTCATGTAGAATGAGTGCTCTGCATATCCCAGATAGAAAGCTTTGTAGCTCATTTGCGCTCTTGACTCTTGAATCGTCAGTCTGCATTGTTTGTTCACCGAACTCTTTTTTTGTTGCAGCCTATGGACTGTGCAGCAACTACTCATGTCCAGGATCAGTGAGCAAGAGGAATCCTTGACATTATACTTGCTCCTGAATTTCCACACCGAGTTGATCGGACAGAGACTGTACGATAATAGGTAATAGGCCGCGAGAGAAACACGCCAAGAACGTGTGTGGAAAAATGGTTTGGCAATTTCTGGATCGTAGTCGGACTGAGTCTAGGAAGAACAAAGACTTTCTTTGTGGACATCGCCTCCGTGAATATGTAACATTAAGTCCGCAACCATCTTTGCCCTTGGTGTGATCGTTTCTCCTGAACACCTGAGAGAACCGGTTCTATGGCTCGAGTGTATTCTTCGAGAAAGCTGTTGTATCCTGTTCCTACAGTTGATGTCGCGCGGGCTATTAGTCAATTGCAGCAACGCGTCTCGCGCACTCCCGAATAGCTGCATGCATACAATTGCACTGGGGTCAGGCTCCACACGAGAGAAATTCACAATGTTTCCGATTATAAAGTAGCGTTTAACGTTTTCTTGTGAGTCTGCTGCATCCTGCCCACGTTACTCATACTGTCGACGCAGGTCCTTGATCGTCAACCACAAATCTCAAGACAATGTCTTTCTCCCTATACTCGAGCTGGCGAGCCGAAAGATTCAGTCGTATATATAACATACAGCTCCGTGGACAGAGTAGAGACCACCGAATGCCTGGTCGTGTCGCTGAGCTGCTCGAGGGGAATATGGCGCACGGACCGGCGTGAAGTTGGTTGCTTCCAATCTTGCCTGCCCCTCATGATCACACCCCCCTCAGCTCATCTGCTCCAGCGACATTGGCAATAGACAAAGTCTTTTGCTTCTCTTTTTGGAATAGCTGTCGTCTTTCAGCAGACGGATTTGCTTCAGACTAACGCACGCCTCTGACAAGGAAAGGGACCGAGAGCTCCGCCGAAGACACCGAGTCAACAACAGAAACCCTCCCCTCGGCGATCACCAGAGACACCACAAAAAGCCACCGATATTCTTCATCGATTGGAGCAGCTGCAAATGGATTTCCCATATTCGGAAAGCTCATTGCAGGCAGGCCTTGACGCGGCTGAATGATCTTGCATTAGCGGACACCCGCGAACCCCCACCCCACTTAGCATACCCGGATAACAATATACCTTGTCTATGGGGCCAGAGAACAAGCGGAACATGGCATCGGCTGTCGGCCCTTAGGTAATGCTTGATAGAAAGATCGTCACAATCCTTCGCATCTAGGTGGCATCGGGTACTTGATGAACTCACCTAGCTCTTTGTTAGAGGACTTCCTCTTTGGTCACTGCAATCCCACTCACCTACAAGCAGGTCAGTGTTGTAGTCAAGTATGACTTTCTGTGTCTCTTGATATCGCCACAAGAGCATTCTGTCTTACAAACTTGACACAATCCGCCAGTACGCGATCTCATCTCTTTCCTTCGCTCAATCTTAGCCATATACGGGCCGTGCGCCGAGACGTTTTTCCCATCAACCTGAATAGGGGACGGAGGTACACATATGCGAATTCGATCGTGGCGATATCATATTGTCTCAATATCGGAGTGACAGGTGGCTGCAGGAAGACACATACACATCGGGCGTGTACAATTTGCCACACCATCTTGAAAATCTGTATGCCGGGAGACATGTCGACCAATTGCCAAAACCCAAAGCTTGCAAGGCCAACTTTCGATAGACTAGACAGCTGCATGTCTCGCTTCGAGATGTGCTTTTTTGCCGACAATGACGAAGTCCTACGTAGGTCATCACCCATGTACCATTTCCGGATAGCACGATCGTCCTTCGGAGTCACGACTTTGGGAATAGCCGCAATTCTCCTGCCTCTTTGATGTCCACCCCTGGTGGTCGGATTGAATGTTAGGAGCGAAAAAGTGGTTATTCGCCGTATGGGTCCGCTCTCCTCCCCATGTCTTTATTACATGGTTCTACTCCATGGTTCGCCATTACGAAAGAAGCACGCTTAATCCTGATACCAGGCAGCCCTTTTTCGCGTCGGCTGTCAAGCATCGAGACACTACACACGAAAGGAGCTATTGGGTTCCCCAGTATATGAGATCTGGGCTAAGCCATATGTCGAGAGCGCCTTGTGGTGTGGATACTGTCACTGAATGTCCTTGGGCGATGAAGGCTCAATCGGCCATAGAAGGTCGATCTTTGGCTTATTTAATCAGTGTTTCAGTATTCACACCTACCTTGGTCCACTTCAGCGTTCTTGACTAGAGTGTTGGGGGTGTTGTTCAACAGCTGACCTAGGAATCACACCGCTGCATTACCCCGCTTGAACAAATGCTTTACCGGAATGGCAATGGATACGGGAGTTAAAGAGCAGGAAAAAGGAACATTGGGATTCCATAAGATATACGCATGTCGCTAGTGAGAGTTTGCGGCTTTGTGGCCGTTTGAGACGACAGTGCTTAGACCTGTTTATCTTTATTTCGACGACTCCATGGTTACTTGCGACATCAGAATTAACTTTTGGGCTTCTGTTGCCAATGTTAGAAAAAGGTCTGCTGGAGTAGAGGCGTGTCACATGATGCCAATGGAATAGCGGTCTAGGAAATGAAGCCTGCTGCAATCGATTACTCTGTTCTTGACGACAAGTCGACAGTAAGACCATCCTGAGAACCCCGGAATAGGAGACTGAACCTCGCAAATGGCAAGACATCAGATCAGTGACTTGTTCTAGGGATCTTCCAGCACACATATGCAGCCGTTAATCTCAAGATCTTGTCAAATAGGTCGGGCAGTGTAATCAGAGGCGAGTTTCCCAGAAGGCGCCAGGGATGCTTGCCACACCAAATGGGGATTGCATACCCCATCATGCCACCATTGGCATTACCATTCGACCCCTAAACACCTTCTCTTTCTAAGACAGCATTGTTTATCCAACTCTTGGTATATGGCTTTCCATACTCCGGATACCACCGCTCCGCCTCAGAGCCGAATGAGGCTATCTTATCATCGTACCATATATCTTTCTGTACGAAGGTGATACTATCACTCGTAAGCTTTGAACAATACCAGCGGTTCGTTGTGGGAATACCTGGCCGTACGCGTAAGCCTTACTGAGGGTTGAGTTTCATATCAGTCCTGACTGTCGTCGCAAGGGAACGAGTGGACTCATGGTTAATCTCATGCTGAGAATAGCCATTTGCATACCATGCTGTGTTCCTTGGAAGTACTGCCTCAGATGACATTGGATATGCAACCACTCATCGCCTCCGCTCCACCGTTACATGAATCATGCAACAGATGTTTGAGCATGTCTGCTGGCCCGAATCGCCTCACTACGGCCCCTTCTTTGTCTGGTTTTCTTTCCTTTCCATCTGTGGCGTCCAGTCGGAAGCAAGCGACTCGGCTGATGCTGAGCCAGCGCACAATGCAGGGTTCCGTGTGTGACAATGGCAAGCATATTGGCTGTGTTCTCGTCTCGCGTCAGCGTCTGGTCTTTATGTCGCCTCGCACCTTCATACCTGTCGCCCGTGCCGTTCTGTGGTCTTATCCTAGGATCTTGCCTTCCATGCTCTTCATTTGGCAGCCAGTCTCTGTTAAAAAAGAGCTGATGTTCAACGGTCGAGGAGTAGGGCTCTATGCGGAGAAGGTTCTGTGAGTGTGGCGACTCATCATACTGGGCATTCGCATTTCGAAAGAAATCGTATGGTGTGCTGCAACCACGCCGCGCCTGCACTAGAACCCGTCTCCAACGTTGCATGGAATTCCGCTCGGGTTCGACAAGGTCGATCGGAACTACTCTATATTTATGTCAGTCATTCTTCCTCCGATATATAAGGGAGGGCCAACACGTGGCTTATCTTGTAAGCTTTGTCACATCTGTGAAACACAGCGGCATTCTCCGGTTTGGCCAGGTCCACACAGCATTTCCATACTCTTGAGAGCTCCTTGGTTGGGTTGCTGCCAATGCAGGTTCGCGTGAGGGTGTCAACACGTTGTCAGTCGTGCGCTCCTAGCCAGAAATGGCTGTGGTGTCCTGATCATCCGCTACGAATCTTCTGATGAGCATCCATTGGTGCCAATAGTTTTCCGACGCCTTTTGTATCTCGTATCGCCGTCGTTTGTATGGTTGCTTTGAAGCCATGGGAGTCGAGTGCGTTGGCGGGGCTCCTGCGGAGAGAAAGCATATGATCACGACGACCGCCGAAGTTCTCAGGACGTGAGCCTGGCACTGTCGCTAAACTGCGGAAATTTCAATCAGCGTCTGAAAGTTTGATAGGACTCTCAGTTGGTGATGGCTACTGTCGGACAGCCCATCGAAGTCAGACCACTGAATGGTGTTTCTGCCAACCACCCTCGCGAATATACACGTGGTGAAAGAGCTCTCTGCCCAGACAGTTCAGATTATGGACTGTCATGCCAAATAATCCGATCAAGTGCTGCGAAGGCTACGCCGGTCGAACAGAGATAGCATTTTGTTAAGCTTGCTGGGCGGGGGGCTCCATCGGAGCCACCACCTACAATGCTGACTACGAAGGGAGAGAGATGATCCTCAGTAATCCATGAAGGCATTTTACAACTTCGAGAGCCTTCTGCGTTCTGTTGTGTTGATTCGTTGGCCGCCGCGAAAATGTTGTTGGGATGGCGGCGGAGTCGCGGATAGGACTGAGAGGTGAAGCCAGGGCACTGGCGCTATAACCAACAGTCACCAGCATCACAACACGCATGATGCGAAGGTCAGAAAAGATGGCATTCTCCTTGTCAAAGCTATCGACATGTGTGCAGCATCGTGCTCCCTGTCAGCAGTCTAGCAAGGGGTTAGCTTGTCCAAGCTTAACAAAGAAGATTGTTGCTCAAGATCCAACGAGAGGATGAGCAAACATATCCCGCAAGCACCTCTTGGCTGCACTCCACCAAAATCTAGAGAGCATATGCTGAAAGAGGCCATCTACAAATCACATTTTTTTTGTGTCATCAGAGTAGAGAGCGTCCTGTTGCAGACTTGAGAGTTAGTTTTACAATAGGCTGCACATCTTCGCTTGCGCTGCTGCATATCTCAATCTGCATAAAGAGGTTGAGACTGCGGAACCACAAAACCTTCGCATTGATAAGCATCTGTTCCTACATCATGTATACATGCAATGATGCGGGTGGATGGCAGGCATCCCTCTGGGCTAGAAAGCTTCATCCTCAAACGATGACGAAAATGGTCCTACCAAGATATTGATATCATTTGGTGCCAAACAATAAGCTTGGTTGCTCGCATAGAGCATGGGAAGGCTCTCGTCGTTAAGGATAGTCATTGGGAGACCCGATAGAGTGTGGCATCCTAGCAGAGTTGATGGTACATACTCAAGTGAAGCCAAGGCATGCCGCCCTACCGTTTGCAAGCTCTGGTACATCGCCGTTGCCCTGTCAGCCACTTACCCTCACTATCTCAGACCGGAGACCAAGGAATTTTATCTGCTATATAGGTTTGAAAACCGGCACTCTTCCATAGAAACATGGCTGACGAAAAGATAGGAAAGGACGTAGAACCCCCCGGTCCGAACCTTTTTGCTCGAGGATATGGCTGTTTACAGAGTGAGGCTGCCGCGTTCGACTCGTGTGAGAGCAAGGAGTTGGTCTTCTTTTTGCCCCTGATTTTCTGCAAATGACCAGTAACTATGAATGCCACCGCAGCTGCATTGGCTCGGGAACGGTGGACAAGGCTGCCTCTATGCTGATTCCGAATTATCCGTGTTTTTCATCGTTAATCGAGCTTTTCAACAAGAAATCATCACAGAAATGCCTCGGAAAGATGATTTGTAGACTCATCAGGGAATTGATATGAACAGCCCAAAAAGAAGTACAAGATCATACAACCAAAATTTCAGGATCACATGAGAGTTTAATTGGGGCCTTCGATGATCGAAGCCACAAAACGGGTCAATAAGTGCCTGAGACCTGGGCTATAGTTTGTTTATGAACATATCATGCTTCTACAACTTGGTGGCAGTTGCAGCAGCGATGCATGCAGGAATTTCAATTAGATCGGAAACGATGAAGGCAATATTCCTAGCAGTTTTACATCAGTGGACAGGATATATTGAGCCTGATACTTGTGCCGGGATGATTCAGCGCTCAAATGATGTCTCGCTTTTGCGTCAGATTCATCCTGTCAGTACCAGTTACCACGATAACATTGCGGACAGTAGAAGATAGAGAAGCTTTTGACTCTGCCTTGTCAAAAATCCTTCAGATCTCGCCGATCAGAACATATGATCGATTTCCCACGTACAAGTTTTTGACACTACAATTATGTTTATTACCAACAGAAGTCCTCGCTAATTCGGTTTCCGATTAGCAAGACTCTAGGATAGCATCATCAAACTCAAACGGTACTTCTAGAAAATCACCGAATGAGTAAAAGGGGGCAATATACAGATAACGATTTGTTAGAACCCTCAGGGGAAACACATATAAAGTCCACTGCGGTATTTTGGTAGTTCGCCAGCTGTCCAATGTTGCCGTTACGCTATCTTTGGGCGTCCTACAACAGATTTGCAGACATGAACATTTTTTTCTCAAAGGTACTTCAAAAAAAGGAAACAATATGTAAAGAGCGCTATTTATTAGTTGACTAGAAGTAAAGCCATTACATGGTTGAAAAAATATATCATCTCCACTAATTCAATGTTGCAGTTCATTAGAATTGAAATTTCGTCTTGACTTCTACAGCTCCTAAATACTTTCCGAATTACAGGAAAAGTATTAGGAGGCATTGGTTTTCTTCAACTTGAATAAGATTGACAAATGTATGATAATGTAGGCTGGCAAACAGGTCTCCACATCAGGACCTTAAAATTACAATTATCTCCACGAATATATTACAAGTAATAAGAAGAATTCTCCCCTTAATAAATAACGAGACGGCCGAGGGCCTAGAGACGCCTACGTTAAAAGGTGAAGGATTATTATAGAGCTTAAAGTTACGTAATATACTATCTTACTAAAACTAGCTGTCTAAGATGGCAGTATATAAAGAGATAGTAGCGCTATCTTAACTATCTTACTAAGACTAAATAGATAAAATAGTAGAACTTGAAGTAATAAGTATATAAGAATAGGTAGATTTTATTATTACTATTGTCAGGCGCTGCGCTGACTATATATACTATCCTGTGCAGAGTATCAGCAGAACGCTGATTACTCGTACCTTTTTTGGTTGTTGTGGCCCAGTGGCACAGGGCTGAGCTTCTAACAACTATTATTATAGTTAACTTAAATTATACTTTTTTACTAGTTACTTAACTTTATAAGATTAATACTTATTAGTCTATTTAGTATAGATCAGAAATTATTAAATATATCATTATTTATTCTATAAGTACGCTACTCTACTATATTACTAGGCTGGTAAACGGGTCTCCACATCGGGATCTCTTTTTCCTAAATAGCTCTACTAGTTCTTGCCTAATCAGGAAGTTTAGTACCTTATCTTGTAGCCTTAAATTAGAGCTTTTTTTGTCTATAATAGTAGTAGGCTGACTCGAATAGGTAAGACGTTATTTAAGATCGGAGTAAAATGTAGAGACCCGGCTCTTGGCACGACGGGTTACTAAATATCTTCTTACCTATTAGAGCTAGCCTACTACTATATTAGGCAAAAATAGAGCTTAGATTAAGGGCTAGAAAATAAGGTACTAAACTTCCTAATAGGGTAAGTATTAGTAGAGATAATTAAGAAAAACGATCCCGAGGTAGAGACCCGACTCGCCACACTACCACAGAGATACAGTATATAGCCCTACCAGAACCCTTAGGTATCTCTCTTAGGATTTGTCTTAATCTACTCATTAGTATGTACTGTGCCTATCTGCGAAATACCTCATAGATAATCGAACAAAATACGCTATAATATCTTAACTACCCTTATAATTCTATAAAGAACAACTTTAAGAATAAGTATTTTATTACTATAGTGAAATAATAGCTATTGCGTAAGTTCTAAGATACTAAAATCGCGGATTCTTTGCGGCACGGGGGGACTTGCGTGACCCAGGGAGGGATGTTATCTGTTTTTCTTTTGCACGACAAGCGAAACAAAGACTTCTATTCGCTATGCTCCAACGCCATCCATGCAGAAGCACAACAAAACCTTATTTCTCACTACGCCGTCGGTGCCCACTTACTCTTCGCTCTGATCCTCGCACCGTAAACATAGAAGAGTATTGGTACAGGGATGAACGCAACACAAATGAAAGCCAAGAGACTGGTCGCCCAGGGCACGCCCAAGTTATGATACATGGCATGTGTGAAGAGGGGGAAGAAAGCGCCAGCAAACGATCTGATGAACGTGTTGACCGCAATAGCACTATTGGAGTAGAACCCATAGCAGTCGATGAGGTAACTCATGCCCTGCCAAAACGGGACCATACAGCCGAATCCGAGTAGAGCGACAGAAAGAACCTGCGGCACCCATGTGATGTTTGGGTTGCTCGTCCAAGCGAACCAGAAGAGACCAGCAGGAAGAGCAATAGCTCCGATAATCATGGGCGGGAGACGCTCCTCGGGAATTACTTTGCCGTGCTTGTGGTATGCGCGGGTGAAGTTTGTAGCAGAGCTGTAAGCGATGCAGGCTGCGCCCATGAGGATTCCGACGATGAAGGCACCAAAGGGGAGCTGGGAAACGCCGAGAGACCAGCCGCGTTCTTCGTAGAAGGATACAGGGAACTGTGCGGTTTGTAAGTGCCATGTAAGAGATGGGATGCTAGGTGTAATTGCTTACGGCTTCGAAGAGGAGATAGACTATGCCGTACAGAAAACTCATGTAGGCTGTTACGAGTGCCAAGATGGGTTCTTGGGCGAACATGATGAAAGGTCGTAGAAGGTAAACATTTACGACTCGATCAAGAGTCAACTTGTTTGCGTCCGCCGCAGCATGGTATTGCTCATTGCCTGTTTCATTGCGTAGTCGGGCAGCGCGTATCTGCAGAATCCTAGCCGCTGATGTCTCTGGGATAACAAAGAAGCCTATGACACCAAAGAGGCCGGCCATGATAAGCGTGATCCAAGATGTCCATCTCCAACCAAGATGTGATTCAGCAATGAAGCCTCCGGCTATTGGTCCTGCTACAGGTCCTGCAAAGCCACCGGCTGCAAAAACACAAATAGCATAGGAGCGCGGAATGGGATCCCACAGGTCGGCAAGCGCTCCACCAACGACTGCCAGCGGTGCTGAAGCAAAGAAGCCACCGAGGAAGCGGCCAACGCATACTGTCGTGATGTTCTGTGCCAAAGCAACGGGAATCTGGAAGATGGCGAAGAGCGCAAAGCCAAACATAAGCGGCATTTTGCGCCCAAGAACTTCAGACATAGGCCCGAATGCGATGGGACCGAATACAAATCCCTAGAATGAGATTAGGTACTAGAAATTGTAGGTAAAACAGTTTGACGTACAAGAACGAAAAGCGCTACACCTAGCGTAGCAGTGACGATCTCGACGTTGAACTTTTGCTGTACAACGCCTAGGTTTACGCTGAAGATTGAACTGGCGAATGTGACGGTAAAGACCATGAGACCCATTGAGATTGTTATTGCCCATCTTCGTTTCGCAGTCCAGTTTTTAGGATTGTCGGGATCATTGGGACCATCAAACTCGACGAGGAACTGGTCTTTCTTTTCTGGTGTCGCGGGCGCAATGTCGGTTGGTCTTTTCTCAGGGTCTTGAGAGGTGTGATTTTGGCTCTTTTCCCAATCTCCGTTGCCTGATGGTACTTCTTTGTTGTCGAGTAGCGGACCAGGCAGTACCATGGGCGCTGGTGCAGGCTCTGTGGTAGTGGTGCGATCAGCCATTGCGACGGAAGAAAGCCAGGACGTTGTGAGGGCGTTCAACTGCACATACTTGGAAGCGACAATGAGCCGCCCAGGATACTTATAGCCGCATCACATGTCGTTTAGTGTATCTCGTTATTCCCGGACTTTGGGTGGACTTACGCCCTTCCTCCACGACGATCCCTGCCGTCGCTCTCAGACATGCATCCAAACGCCGAACCTCGCTCGCTCGCTTTATCGAGCCAATTACTCAGCATTACGCCTATTGTAAATTAACGGATCCAAGAGCCATAGGCGTTTGACGAAGCAGTGCTAAACGTCGAAGGAAGTTGCCCTGTGTGGTCAAAGCAGACAAAAGACGTCATCGTCTTATCCGCGTGGCGCCCTTGCAGCCGATTAGCGTGAGACAGTATAGGAGAGCTACTACTACTCCGAGAAATCTCTAAGGACTCCATTGTGTAACATCTTTACTATGTCTTTGCCTTCCGTAGTGAAAGAGTATTCATGAGTACAGGTTCGTCGGCCGATGACATAGTAGCATGACGCTCCTGTTGTTGACCTTGTGGAATTTAGGCTTGGAGATTGGAAGTTTGCTCTTTCCTACTCAAAACGGTAAAATATATATATGTAGTAATTACCGATATCTCAAATGCACACGCTCCAGTATCAGAAAGGACATATCTTTACATTTTCTACTCAGGGTCTGCGGCTGTAGGTACAAGGTCCCAGGACCTACATCGAAACATGCAATACATCAGCTTCTCAAAACCATTGCAATAGGCTCTTCAAGACTAGCACATGATGCGCTCTCATGCACTTGTTGACTACTAATTACATTCCATCAAGCAGCTAACACCAACTCACACTACACTCCTCCTCAGTTCCATCCGATCCAACTCTTACTCATGACACGCCAAACTCGTACCTCACCAGATCTCAAATCACCCATCCTGAAGCTCTCAGGCTTGACTTTCTTGTGCTCACGCCCTTGTTCCCACGCTCGCACCTTTTTCTTGCTGCCGTCCCATTCCAACACCACACCCACGTGATCGGGCTTACCAACATCCATGCTGTATTTGCCATGCATGGGTCCAACCTTGCCTTGAAACTTAGCGTTGCGGAAGCTTATAATGTCACCAGGGCGTATCTCGTCGAAAGATAACGTTGATGCATTAGCCAGGTTGGCATAAACCAGCGCACCATATGAGCGGGTCGAGACGGGTGGAAGGGCGTCACCAAAAGGCTTGAGCAATTCTTCAATAAGAACATAAGGTGAACCATTCCCGACGACCGTGTTCTGCTTGGATTCGATAGCCTTGGCAATCTGTCGGCCAAACTGCTCGTAAGCATTCTCCAGCTGATCCGGACGCAGACGGGGAGGAGGTGGTTCCTTGTGCTGTTCAAGTTCCACATCAGAGACATTATTGGCCTCGAAGCGAGCAGAGATGATTGTTTGTGAGTAGTCAAGGTAGAGGACCTTGATCAACTTCTCCACAGTATTGCCAGATTGCGACTCTTTCCGATCTATCATGACATCCTTGCGGCCCTGCAGCGATGGAGGAAGTAGGTTAGGTTGAGTCCACCAATGGGAAGTAGCTCCAAGGTCTAGTTCCTCGGCGATAAAGTCCTGATGTTGCATTGAACCTGAACGAAGCTGATCCATAGACTGTCTTGTAGCCATCATGTGACTCGCATCAAACGACTTCCGATTTGGTAATGGTCGAGGCTGTGTGTCCATAGGTGCCATCTGCGGAGATTGAAACTCTTTTGGCTGAGGAGGCAGTGGGGGTGGGGCAGCTCGTTCTTGAGGCGGAAAAGGCGGTGCTTGTTGGTGGGGAAGGGGTGGAGGAGCATGCTGGTGCGGTGGAGCATGGGGCGGTGGAGGTGGTGGCCGATCATGAGATTTTCGGGGTGGAGGCGAAGAGTACAGGTCGTCTTCTTCCTCAGACTCAGCTGTTTGATTAGGCATAGAAGGAGGAACAGATGGCGGCATAGGTGGTGGAGGACGACTCTGTGGAGGGAATGGTTGACTTGGTGGAGGTGGCGGCGGAACTCCTCTAGGCGCAGGCGATGCAGTGAGTGAAGGAGGGCCGTTGTACTTGAAGGGGTCATATTCATCCTCCTCCTCCACTGGTTGAGCATTACGATTCGGTGGTGGCCCAGGTGGTAGCAGAGGAGCACGAGGAGCGTCTAATGACGATCGAGGCGGCTGTTGGGGAGGAGGGGGCGGCACCGCACGATTGACAGGAGGTACAGGTGGCATACCTTGAGGTATTAATGGCGACCGGCCTGGCGTAGGCTCGTCTGATATAATGTCCTCCTCGACACTTGAGCTTTTAGCATGTGACTTCAAAGCATCCTTGTGCGTTGCCTCAGGGGCCATGTCTGTATCATAGTCGCCCTCATAATCCGTCTCTCCCTCAGTGCGATCTATTTTTCTTTGAAGATGATCCCCATGGCGGGAGGGGGGAGCTGAAGTTGGCGGCGGTGGCGGCGGTGGCCGGCTTGCTGTTGAAGGCGGAGGGCCTGTTGGAGGAAGTGGCGGTGCACGCCTCTCGGATGAATCGTTATGCTGCTCGCCAGTTGCAAAGTAGGAGACACGTTTTGAAGATGGCGACTGGACAGAAGCGGATGGCGTATTAGCCGCATCTGTCAACTCGTCACCAGACTCAGAGCCAGGTCCTGGGGACATGACCTGTGGCGGCGGTGGCGGCGGAATAGGGCGAGCTACAGATGGTTAGAATGAGTCTAGATTTGGCAGCAGTATTGCTTACATGCTGATGGAACTGGTGGAGGAGCAGGTCGTTCTGCGGAGGGTCAGACTTGCAGCAGAGGGGTTGGTATAGATACAGAGCTCAATGTACACACATACTAGACACGCATACAGTCATGACATATTCCGAAACACCGTCACTGGTAACATACGTCTTTGACAGTGTCTCAGGAAACGGCAGCTGAAGGTAGTCTTTGCTACAGTGTACGAAGGCTGAGATCGGTTTGCGAGGAATCATCAACTTACTGTCTGATGGAACAGGCGGGGGTTGATCGCCTGTAGGCGTGGGCTGGGAAACGACATCTTCGACGTCAGGTACCTCATCTGCTGCATGAGAGCTCGTGACCGTCTGTGGAGCCTCTTCTTCCTTTTCTACAGAAAGCGAGCGGTCATCCTGTTCCTTGCTCTGGGCCTGTGGCAATGGAGGAATGCGGAACATGGGCACCGGCTGCTGGGGGGACGTGTATCCCTCTGATTCCTCTGCCTTTTTTTCCGTGATTGGCTTCTTTTTGGCCGGTTTAGGAGGCTTTGGAGGAAGAGCTCCCATGGGCATACCCCCAAACATACCGGGCATACCCATGCCGCCACTCATCTTGGCCATACGCTGGCGTAGCTCCAACTTGCGTCTTGTTTCAGCATCCATCTCGTCTTCCTCTTCCTCTTCGTCTTCTTCGACAGCGTCTTGCTCGTCGCCAACATCGGGTTGTTGCGCCGGCGCATCAGCAGCTCTAGGCGCTGGTGGAGGCGCATGCCTGCTCTTCGGTCGGTCCTCGTCATCTTCGACGCTCGTAGACTCAGCCCCAGCATCCTCCGTATCACCAGCGCCTGATTGATCGGCGTCGTTTTCACTGACGAGCTCGCGATTGCGAGTCTGTGCATCGGGCGACTTGACGTCTTGTGATGTGCGAGGACGAGCCTGGTCTACTGAAGCACGAGGCTTGGAGGTTCCGCTTCCGACCCGTTCCAAGCCAGTGTCTTCGCTATCATCAGCTTGTGACTCTTGGGGCTCGATTCTCTTCGCCACCGGTGGCCGCTTGGGCTTCTCCTTGAGCATTGCAGCAGCCCTTTCCGCCTGCTCTTGCTGCTGTTTCTGGAGAAGGGCAATCCTTTCCTTCAAGCTGACCTTGGGCTGTTGCTCTTCCTCGCCCTCATTTAAATTTAGGGCGTTGTGGCCAACAAGTCCAGCACGCTCAGCATCTTCGCGGTCCCGTGCCTGGCGCTCTGCGATCTCTGGATCTTCTTCACGGCGGTACGTCTTGATTGGTGGAGCTTCGCGAGCAGGAGGAACGTATGCATTACGACTCGGCGGAGGAGCGACAAAAGGCTTCTTAATGAAGTTGGTGGGTGCACCGCCAGATGGCTTAAATGGCTGGATTGGGGCAGCAGCTGGAGCATTGAAGGCAGCGATGCGGTCCCGGAATGCATTGGACTTTGCCGCGATGGGGGGAGGCGCCTTTTTGGCGGGAGCAGCAGGTTTCGACGTTTCAGACTGCGATTGAGGAAGCTCTGGAGCTTTTGCACTAGACGCAGAGGGAGGCGACATGGGTGACATTGGTAGAGGAGTGTTTTTGGCGATAGCGGGGACCTCTACCGGAGGCAGCTGGGGCTTGGGCGGCTCAGGCTCAGGCTCTTCGGGTTGAGCTGGCTCAGGCTCCTGCTGAGGCAGCTGGGGAGTGCGGGGAGCTTCCTGTGCAGCCGGTGGCTCCAATGGCTTGTAACGTGAGGCCCGGTTGGGGCGTGGCGGCGGCTCTGGTTCGTAGCGCTCGACGAAATTGCGGGGGAAGAGGCCATCATGCTTGGTGCCGCCATTGTCTGTATACTCGCCGACATACCAGTCGGCACCCTCCTCCTCGGTGACGGTGATGACCTGGCCGACCTTGAAGTCGAGGTCGTCCTCGTGGGGAGACGAGTAGTCGTACACGGCCTTGACCTTGTACATGGCGGCAAGCTGTGGTGGAGCAGCAGCTGATGGAAGGGCTCAGGCAGTTGTAGGAGGGCTCGCTAGGCTATTGTGACAGCTGCGGACCCTGCCACGGGGAGAAGCAAGAAAAAAAGAGCTTCAGCAGGATTGGGAGGAGGAGGAGCAGCAGAAGCAGGAGGGAGGAGGTCTAGGGCGAGTGCACGGGGCGGGTCGTCTTGGTGTAGCTACAATGGCGCGGTGTCAGGCAGCGAAGGACAGCGGGAGGCGCGGAAGAACAAGGGCAGCGTACCATTCAGCGTGGGTAGCCATACAGTAGTGAGGCGAGAGGCGAGAGGGAGAGCGAGGGGGGGCAATGAATGGGGGCAATGATGGGGGCGGCGGCCGGCAGGAGCCTCGTGGGGACAGACGGACAGTGTGGTGACGAAGCTCAAAACAGCCCCGCGCGCTGCCCGACGCCCAGCTTGGCAGTTGGCCGCGACGCTCCACTTGGACTGATGTCTCTACTAGCACCCGCCGATCCTACGTACCATCACCGTTCCTGTTGCGATCCTCCTGCTTCTGCCATCACCACCGAGTGGACTGGACTGGACATGCCCCCCAAGTCCATCCTCAAGAAGACGCCGGCCGTGGCTGCCAATGCCCCGACCACCACCACCACCACCACCACCACCAAAGCAGTCAACCCGCGCCATCTCGCAGTCGCCCGCCACCATGCCTCCGTGCTCGAGGACCGCAAGCGTGTCGAGGCAGAGGTCCTGCAGGCCGTCATGACGCTGATGGATTTCCCCTCGTCGCCAGACGCTGATGCAAAGCGACCCACTCCCGCGGACGCCCGCTTCTTCCAGACGGCAATCATTCCCTTCCAGCCCGCCGACTACGACGCCCTGATCGAGGAGCGCAACATTGCCGACAAGTGCGGCTATGCCCTGTGCCCCCGCCCCAAGACCAAAGCCCGCTCAACCGCCAAGAAGCAGTTTGTCGACACAGAGGACGGCGTGCAGATTGTCGACCGCAAGGTGCTCGAGGTGTGGTGTTCCGATGACTGCGCGCGCCGGGCCCTTTATGTCAAAGTCCAGCTGAGCGAGGAACCCGCCTGGCTGCGGCAGGGCGGGTACGGCGATAAGATTGAACTCATGGTGGAAAACGAAGAGGAGCATCGCGTTACCTTGCCCCTGCGGCCGAAGCAGCCAGTCGCCTCCACCAAGGACCAGGATGAAGACGACGACGTGGATGCAGCCTGGGCCGCCCGTGAAGATGCCATGGCCGACCTGGCTCTTGAGCGAGGAGAAAAGCCGGGCCAGGTCACCAAGGCGAACAGCGACCTCGTCCAAGACCAGATCCTCGAGCGGCCTCTGAACAATGCGCCCCCGCAACCGCCCTCGCTTCCCACGCAGACATCTGACCACACCATGGCCATTGAAGGCCACGTTCCGCGCATCAACAGAAAAGACAAAGATGACGATGAAGATGAAGATGACCCACAAGACTGGGAAAAGCATCTACCAGGATGACCAAACGACCTGATCGCCTGGTATTCTTTTTTCTCACCCCCAGCCATAAACAAACTACCACTAGGCTTCAATGCCAGTGCTATAGCCGTGTGCTTGATCTTTTGCCTCTAGCCATTGATCCACAAGACAGCATTTCATGGGTCTATGTGTCATCACTGCCCACAACGGTAGATATTATGAATCCGCATGTTGGTTAGAATCATACCACATCCTTGAGACTGCGTAGTGACGACAGGCTTGTCACTTCGATATAATCATAACATGACTGTGCCAGCAGTACAAGTCGCACAAGGCTTTATAGGGGAGAAACTCCAGTAGTAGGATGGGCTACTGTCATCTGAGAATTACAAAATCATAATAGATAAAATACCACACCATATAACTCTCATTTGTGCGAGCATTGAATGTGTAGCCCTTGCTAACTCGACAATGCACACAAATCCAGCAGAAGCCGCGGAGGTGCGCACGGACCGCATCGCCGCAAATCCAACTCAACATTTGCTTGCAACCACCAATGACACCACTTCAGCCGCCATTGAACGCCAACCCGCGGCTGTCGCATCGCCAATATGGCTCTAAGTCGCCAGTCCCTCTCGCCAACATCCCATCTGCTGCGCAATTCCCGACTTTTCTCTCTGCCCAATCCTCTCCCACGCCCGCCAGTTAGCGAGACCTTTGGCGCGGGCATCACAAAGGCATCGGACACGGCAACCCTACCATACCCGACACACCAGGCCATTGCTACCACAAAAGCCTCACTTGCACGCGGTGATTGGGGTCTGAAACGAGCAATTCCCTCACGGAGTCACCTTGTCCAAGTCAGTGACCCGGTCCTGAGAGTGACACAGCTGGATACTATTGAGCATGTCACCGACTTTGACTCGGCAGCCGACCATGTGCGGACAAGGCAGAAGTGGGAAGAGATGGGAATTCCCATGATGAAGGGCATGACGCAGATGCGTGATCACGACTTGAGCGTAGCGCCGCCTGCAGGAGCTTTCGAGGTCCGCGATGACACTACCAATTACGACACTGACATGGGTTTGGATGAGGCTGGTCTATATCTGAAGGCTCTCAAGAAGAGCATGCCTGCAGAGAGAGCAAAGGCTGAATGGGAAGCTTTCAATGCTGCCTGGGAAGAGAAGTGGGAACTGCAGAAGGCACTCTGGAAGGCTGATGGCTGGGACACCCAACTTGCAGACTTTGAGGCTTTCCAGCAAGAAGCGAACAAGGCAAGAAAGCAGGCTCGAATCTCACGAAAAAAGGCGTTTGAAGCAGAACTCAAAGCCTTCCGTGAGCCTCTGAGTGCCAAGTGGGCAGCAAAGAAGGCAGAATGGCAATCGCGCAGCCTCACCGATTCTGAGCGAGCAGCTGAGACCAAGGCTCTGGTTGAGGAGACTCGCACGGCCAAATTCGAATTCCGGAAGAAATGGAACGAGAAAAAGGCCTCTCTCGCTGCTGCCCAAGCCCCGGCTTCTATGCCCTGGCTGGACGAGTTCACAAAATTTGAACAAGAGCAGCAGAAGGCTAAGAAGTCACTTAGACAAAAATTGGCGGGATCGGAAAAATCTGGATCCACTCCCTTTGCTCCCTTTACCCCGCCTCCTGTAGACCCCATCGTACACAACACCAAGCGGTGGAAGCATGACGGACCCTGGCTACCAGGCATGGGGGCTGACGACTTTGTCGCCTATATCAGTAAGGAAATCAATTCTCGCAAAAAGGAGTTCAACAGCTATCTGGTTGAATTTGTGAAGAACGAAATCTACACATCCCGCCGTCTCGCCGCCGCAAAGTCGAAAGAACAGCCACCAATGGACATCAAAGAAGCCGAAGAATGGCAAGAGCGACAAGAAAAAGCCTGGCGTCATATTACACGCAACGACATTAACAATGGGATCAAGGCTCTCCGTAAAGAAACAGCCAACAACCCGCTGGGAAGCAAGCTGGTCAGCAAGCTCATCCTCCCCTTCCTGAAGCTGCCGGCGATCAAGTTCAAGCCCAAGGCATGGGCGTCGGACGCATCGAGCCGCGACATTGACCAATACTCGTTTGATCAAGAGACGGCACCGCTCTCGACGCATCCCAGCGCCGGTCTCGGCTACCTGCGCACAAAATCCTACATGGCCAACCACCCAATCCTCGGCCCGCAAGCCAGCCACGCCCCCGTGCCTGCGCGCGTCGTGCAGGCCCGGCGCACAGGAACCAAGAACGAAATGTATGCGCGCCTGGGCGTTGGCGGCTTCGTAGCAAACGACCAGTTCAAGAGCGCAGAGACCATGTCTGCGTCGCGCGCAAACATCATGGGCGCAAAGGACGTCGAGACAATTGACATTGATACGCCTGGTGGCCGCAAGATCCCCGTGCAACCCCTCTTTGGCAGCGTCACCAACGACGGGCGAATCCACATCAAGCTCAAGCGGTCGATAGGGCCCGAGGTTGCCGTGGCTCGGGGCGAGCTGGACGATCGCCCCCCGGTGCGCGACCATGTTGACGAGGATCCGCTGCGTAGCCTAGGAGCAGGCATGGGCAAGAGCGGCATTAAAGAGCTGGATGAGCAGAGTGGCGAGGCGCAAAGGTTCAGCCAGTTCCTCGAGAGCATGACACCACAGGGCAAGGCGAGTCCCCCGCCGGGTTTTCCGGGCGTGGCAGATGCCCTGAGGAGCGATTAGAAAAAAAGACACACCTTTTGGGCATGCATGTTGAATTGGAGTCTTTTTTTTTTGCTGGAAACTCATCATCTGTAACAGTGTACTGTATTCATGACATGACTTCATTCTGTTTTTTTTTCTTTTCCCTTTTGATTCTTGTCATCGTTATCACCCAATGGTTGTCGGCCCGGAATTTGTACAATGCCTGGCCGTGCATGGTCCCCCCCATTGCTTTCGCTCCCCACTCGACTGGAATTTTTTCTCTTTGATGTCGGCATCTACTAGCAAGTGGGAATTACACACACACACGTCTTCTCATGCAAAGTCTGGGGTGGCACGTGAACCATGGCCAATATTTCCTGCCGGGTGTCTTCAGAAGACCAACACATGACCTTTACAACCCGCATGCGACCAGTCAGATCAAAAGCAAGCCACCAACCACGACTTGGAGAATCAAACCATGCATGACATGAGTAGTGTTTGCATGCAGTGTGTTGCCTACAATCTAAGACATTTGCTAGGCGTCACTATTGATTTCAAGGCATTTTGAACAAGAACGTGATGCAAGGATGCAGCACACGGTCGGAGGTCGATGGGGCGGCCGGGAGCAATGAAACTGGCAGTGGGGAATGGTGAGCAGTAGTAACAAGGCTACAAGTGTGCTTGCCTTGACCTAAGGCAGTATTGTGGTAGTTGTTGGGCCAAGGGAACAGGTAAAAACTGGTGATAGGTTCGTATAGTAGAGACATGCCATAATGCGCTTGTGGGGTAAATGGACCACACCAAGAGACATTTTAGACGCGGCTTGTTGAGCCGAGGAAGGTCCGCGAGGCAACCATGTCTCGGACGACTGTGAAGGTGGCTGTTTGGGAAGCATGCTAGTGTAGTCGTACCGATTAGTACGCACACCAAGAGTGTGGAAATACAGGTTGCGACGCCGACTTTGGGCAAACAAGGACCAATCCCTCAATCAAGTAAAACATTTCAGCTACAATGGTGCCTCCTGCTGCAAAGCTTGTTGCTCCTGCCTCAGGTCGTGGGTTAATGTCACTGGCGGTTGGGCCCATATCTGGTCGGGAAGCTGACTTGCTTACGAGTTGGAAAAGGCGAGACGAGGACGGAAGAGAACGGGAATGCTGGGTATACCTCCATCTGACGGCAGAATGGGCTGGACTGGGGCGCGCGCCCAAGCAATGGTTGGGTAGCGACATGTGCGCATTGCGGTATGTGGGCGATTGAGCACACCTTGAGCGACTACACTACTCACTAGTCTTTGCCGTGTGGATGCGGGTTGAGATGCTGAATGGGGTGCATTTACCGTCTGCCGCGCTGCGAACACCATTCCCGAAGGTCAGGGAGATAGTGCATTGTTAGTGATGCAAGTGCGTTTTTTTCCCTTGTGTCAAAAGGCTGAAACTAGCACCTTGCAGCGGTAGTAGTGGTTCATCCGCCAAAATGGCCCGTTTTCCTGACGTCGACGAGGGTTGGTGATGCCCAACCGTATGGATATTGTAGGCGAGCGGCCTTGGGACCATGGTCTACATGGTTTTGAGAAGAAGAAAAAAACGAGCGTCCGTCTTTGATGCGAACTCTGATCTGGGCAGCCAGCCGCGGGGCGGAGTAAGTGTGACGGGCACGAGTATAGCAGATGCGGGAAGAGGAGTGGCACGGCACGGCACGCCTGAGATGTGCTACAGGGCAATTTGTTGAGAGGGACTGTGGCTGAGTTGTGTGCAAAACTGGGCGATTGCGAGGCTGGTGAAGATGACGGAGATCAGGGATGGATGTGATGATAGCATGGTGGAGAAGACGGCGGGCTAGTGTTTGTGTGTCCAATATTTTTTTTGTGGTGTTGTGGTCATGTGGGGTAGAATGCAAGTGCGCATTTGGGGAGGTGCGTCCCCCCGGCTGCGGGAGGTGCGTCCCGGATGCAGGAGGGGGGGCACACACACACACACACATGGCAAAGAAAAAAAACAAGCGCAAGCCATGTCTCTATCACCATATGCCGACGAGCATTGCCATCATCCCAACCACAATCAGCAGCAGCAGCAGCGTCGTCATCTGCTATTACCCATTGTAGCGCATATGTGCATTTTGTCAGGGTCTGCAGAGGCATGGCTGGTGCTGCTTACCGCTGTGGCTGCTTAGCACTGTGGCGGTGCGCGCTCAATTTGGATGCTCGCCCATGGGAAATTTGGTGTGCAGGAGCGAGAGTAGCGGTGTCGCAGTAGATTGCAAGCAGGTTTGATTCACGCGCTAGGGAGACGGCCGTATCAGAGGGCGTGAAGCCGGAGGGTCTCGCCACCAGGGTGGTGATGCTGATCCAGGCAAGTCGGGTGTGGAAGGGTGTGGATGGCTGCAATATTGCTAATAGCACAGTGCGAGAAAGCGCAAGGGCGAGAGCGAGCGCGACGAGGGGCTGACGAAAGCGCGTCTTGTTTGTCACTCACACTCACACTCACACTCAGCCAATTTGCCCCTCCAACATTGACACGGCCACCGCTCATCAACACCATTGCCGCCATCATCATCATCCATGGCCATCCATCACCATCCACTCGTGTGCCCGGCGTGACAAAGAGGGTGGTGCTGCAATCGTCGAGCTGCGTCATCAACACCACCGGCCCAGTGCAAAATGCCCGCCGGCAGCAAATGGCAGCCTTCTGGTGCCTGGCGTCGTGCCCATCCTGGCCGGCGATACGGGAATGACTGCATAGCCTCCACCTGCATCCGCCAATTTTGCAGCTGACGGCGCGCCATCCGCATGTTGCCATGGACACTCGACCTTCCAAGTGCAATTCTGCCCCAAGGTGAATCCAATCAAGCAGAGCCCAAAGGGGTGCGCCCGTCCGGGGTAGAGGCCGCTGCACCGTCGGCTGCTGCTGATGATTCTACTTGCTGCTGCTGCTGCTTGTTGCCATTGATGCCCATCCAGTCCGCAACAAACTCCGCCATCCCGGCCACACCCTCTCTCTCCGGTTCGCGCGCGACGCCCTCTTCACCACTTTTTTTCCTTTCCTACTCTCGCCGGCCTCCCTCAGGCACGCGACACACCATTCGACACCGGTCGCGCCCAGGGTCTATACCTATGGGGGGCCGAGTCTAGGATTGCTCGCAGGCTGTGCAATTCACCGCTGCGCAGCAGCAGCGACAGGAAAAAAAAATGGCCCCAGGGCGCCCGGATCATGTTCATGCAACCATCCATTCTGCCCGTCGCTGCAGCCTGGCTCTGGTACTTGTTGCTGAGGTTCATCCCATGTCACATCCACTCACACTGCCCTTGTTCAGGCTACAATCAAAGCCGCCTAATACCACTTCCACTTAAAGCCAACCAGGCCGGCACTTTAATTCCTCTCAAGCTGCTGCATGGTATCCACTCCGTCTCATCTGCACTGATTTTCTCGCATTTATTATTACCCATCTGCTTCTCTGACTCCTGCGCTTTCGGGCCTACGCCTCCTTGGACTGCCTGCCTGCCTGCCTGCACTCATCCTGTCCGGCGCTTGTCTCAGCCCGGCCATCATCTGCGCCCTTTAAATACATTCGCCGCCCACCACCATCCAAATACCAAGACCAACCTACTTGTTTGACTCATAGCTGTCCCCCTTCTTGTACCTGCGCCAGTCCGCCCTCTGGCCTAGGTGCCATCTGCGTCTGTCCTGGTCAAGCATTCCCTCTAGTCATTAACTAGAGTCCCCTGGCCTGGCAACACACTCCAACACTTGACGCGCACTCACCAACCGGACTTGCCACTCCCTCTTATCCTGGTAGTATACACTTCCCCTCGCCCACCATGTGTCGGATCGAAGGTGACTGCACCTACCTGTGCGACCAAGCGCGCAGTGGGAGAACCTGCCGCGACTTACGGAGAGTTCCTGTTGCCTACACTCACCAGAAAGGCTCCGCTTCCCGCGATGACACCCCTTCTCCGGTAAACCCACCAACACCCACAAGCTCTGGTACCTACTTCACTCAGCGTCGCCGCCCATCCAACAGTGGTAGCCGTCCCTCCACTCGCGATGGCCAGCGCCTTAACCCTGAGATCATCATCGAAATCGGCTCCAAGAAAGGAAAGGGAAGCAAGTATCCGTCAGTCTCCATTTCAACAAAAGGCCACAAGCGACAATCCTTCGGCTCCATCGGATCCAATGACGCCGCCATTGATTCAGGAGAGTCGGAGGCTTCCTATGCTGTCCGGACTGGCTTTCCAGACGCCCCTTTACCCCCTCCGGCTGCCTTTGACCAACCCAACACCTTCCTTCCCACGCCCCTTGCATCTCATGGATATTACCACCGACAAACGCCTTCTGCCTCTTCCAGCCAGACGCCATCGCTGACTGTGCTGTCTGAGCCAGACTATGATCGGTCCACCGGTCGGCGAAACACCCGCCCGTCTGCCACAGTCATCCACAACTCAACTCCCACCTCCGCATCTCCCACTAGGCCACAGCATGGGTTCTCTTCCGGGCCCTACAAGACCAAGAGTATTGTACCAAGGGATCCTCTCCAAGGCGCTCAAACACCCACTACCGTCAACCCACTTGATTACGATCAGTATGCCGATTATTCCGGCTCTTCTCGTGCCAGTTCAGGCATAGCTGAAACCTCACGGCCTACCAAGAACAGTGGTCAACGACGAAAGAAACCAAGTGAGGATCTTCGCTACCAGGAAGACGTTGACCAAAAGAAGAAAGAAGACTTGGAGAACGACAAGCGCGTTCGCTTCGAGCCTGACCGTTACGAAGCTCGCGAAAAGGAGTGGGCTGAGAGAGCACAGGCCGAGAAGGAGAAAGATCGTGCAGCACTTAGAGAAGAGGCTCGCGAAAGGGAGCGCGCCGAAAGAGCACAGGCTGACAAGGAGAGGGAGCGCGCCGCACTTAGGGAAGAAGCTCGCGAAAGGGAGCGCGTCGAAAGAGCACAGGCTGAGAAGGAGAGGGAGCGCGCCACACTCAGAGAAGAGGCTCGCGAAAGGGAACGCGCCGCAAGAGCACATGCTGAGAAGGAGAGGGAGCGCGCCGCCCTCAAAGAAGAAGATCGCAAGCGCAAGAAGCTCGAGCGTCTGGAACAAGAAAAGAAGGAACTTGAAAAGAAGGAGCTCGAAGACAAGAGGGCAAAGGAACGCAAGAAGGAAAGATCAAAGCCTCCGACAACCGATTACCCCACGCGGCCGACCAATACGCGAAGGATGTCTTCGTTGATGACTCCCCAAGAGCAAGCCGAGCAAAAGCGTCTTGTCGAAGCTGATAGTCTCATCATGCAGACCGAGAAGCAGGCGGCAGAAGCTCGCGAGCGTGAAGAAAGAAGGGCAGCTGCTCGACAGCAACAAGACTCATCAACATACTATGACCCTCGGGCCGGTGACCGGTCCCTGTCCAACGCCAATGCCCCCAGCAAGCCGCGTCGTGATAGCGTTGCTTCTACAATGCGTCCTTCCGGACTTACCAGGACCTCTAGTAAGCGCCGCCCGAGCATTACGCAACCCAACCCGCCCACAATCAGCGCTCAACCACCTACGGACTTCTCGACTCGACCCTCAAACTCGAGAGCACATGCACCACCCCCACTCTCCTTTCCAAAGACATTCAACCAAGACTACGGTCGCCCACCATCGGCTCGCCGTCCCTCCCTCACGCCAGACAACCCTTTCTCGCCTGGCGCTGTAAAGTCGCCAGCGGCTGACCCATGGGACCTGCGCAACATGGAGCCCGCGCTTCCATCTGCTCGCTCTTCGGACAGCCGCCAGCATACCGGTATGCAGCCGCGTGGTGATCCAATCATCCATGGCCCTACCCGTCCTGTCCGACGTGTACCCGACTACGTCAGTGCATTCGAAGATGATGACGATGGCATGGAGGATTATCCCTCTCGATATGCTTCACGCACGGGGCTGAGCCGAAGTGATTCGAGGCGGAAGCATTGATTTCCATCATCTGTTGTATTTTAGTGTTGCTTTATGATTTTTGTACTGTTTCGTATGGCGCCCTGTCTCTTTTTGTCGTTTGGTCTTGCCTTTGATACCCCCTTCACCTGCTGCGTTCACTTAGACTACCCTGCGAATGTTATGATCAGCGTATACCATGTTATCTTTGTCTTTCTACAGTGTATATTTTTAGCCTGCGTGTGTGTACTTTTTTTCGGCAAAAATATTTCAACATTTGTGCCCTTGTGCTTGGACCTCGCTAGATAGTAATGTACTGAGTTGCCTCTGCAGCGAGAGTGTGGGTGTTGCGACACTGCTTACATGGCTGGTGCCTCGTCCTTATCAGTTACTACTTTACTCTAGATCTTAGCGCCGGCTTGAATAAACTAGGCTTGTAGACCCTTACATGAGATAGGAACGGTCCAGACAGTGCTCTAACACGTAGTTAGACCCTGATACGTGGAGGGTGACGCGGGGTAGGACTACCTAACCCCCTTACCTTTCCCCTCTTGTTCTGGACGCATTCTACCAACTGCATCTACCGACTATCACCTAAGGCCCACAGTCCACCTCACCGCCTATAGTACCGAACAACCAAACGTGACGTGTACTATGATCAGCACACGGCAGGGACTGCAAGGGCTCAGGGTTTCCTTGTATCGAGAGTCCTGTCAGAATGGCCACAACAAAGACGCAGTCGAGCTCGGCCGACAAGCGTGAATTCAGAGAGCTCAATCATTCTTACTCATTGGAAGCCGGTCCATCGCTCCTTTCTGGATAAAAAAGTGTCGACCAAACTTCCTCAAGGGTCAACCCAGATGGACTTTCGGGACATTTTTTAGCTGCTTCCGCAAAGCCGGGTTACTCGGGTCCTGAAGCAGCTGAGCGCGTACGTCTCACACCCCGCCGCATGGCGTCTTGCGAGACCAAGCTGTCGACCAATCTTCCTCAGGGATTAGCACAAGTAGACTTTCGGGGCCTGGATACCCGGCTTCTGCAAAATCAGGCTATGCAGGGTCTAACGAAGCTGTGGGTATGCAACTCGCGTCTAGCCGCATGCTTCCAGGACCAGGTACCACCGGTGCAAAGGTATAAAGCTTCGGCGGTACCCACAACAATTGCGGGTTCATGTGCTGGCCAGGTAGCTGGTAGAAGTAGTGGTAGTTACTCAAGTAGCTGCAGTCACCATCGCAACGTTTCCAATCCGACTAGACACGTGCGTGTCCGAGGTAGGCTCGAACATTTGCTTGAGCATGTTCCGGTAGTACTTACAAGTCGTTGCAGACAAGCAGCCACCATGCGGCTTCCCAGTGTCTCGGTCTTTGCGGCCATCGCGCTCACAACACTCGCAGAAACGACGCCTGACCCTTCCGATACAAAAAATAGCTCCCAAGCCATAGTTGCCGATGGTATAGAAGGAGACGACGCAGCAAAGTTATTGGAGTCAATCCAAGCAAATTCCACCGACTCTTGCCAAACAGCAGTAAGCTTTCTTCTCAACTACCTCATAATCTTTACAGAGCTTCATCACGATCATGGAATCTGTTCAGCTGACCAATTTTTTTCTTCCAATCTCTAGTGCGCTTCGCTCCTGGGAGAATTCGGCGCTGCCAAAGTCGCGGGCAGCGAAGATCCAGACTATAAAGCGGCGATTGACGGCTTCTGGTCCCAGCAGCAGCGAGAGCCCGTACCACGCTGCATATTTCGCCCAGAGACGGCACAAGAAGTTGCGAATGTGGTGCGTGTATCTCAGGCGAACAAGTGTCGGTTTGCATTTCGGAGTGGAGGCCATGCCCAATTTGCAGGTTCATCCAGCGCAGATGGAGGCATAACTGTACTTTTTGAACGCATGGCAGGCATTACGCTGTCTGAAGACAAAAAGATTGCGTCAATTGGACCCGGGGCCCTCTGGAGCGACATTTACGGCAGCCTGGCTGAACACAACCTTGCGGTTGTGGGTGGCCGTGTCGCTGACATTGGTATTGGAGGCCTTGTGACAGGCGGTGGCATTTCCTACTTTTCCAACCAGCGTGGCTGGGCATGCGACAACGTTGCATCGTATGAAGTCGTCTTGGCGGACGGACGCATTGTGATTGCCACGCCTGATTCGGAGTACTCTGATCTCTACTGGGCATTACGCGGTGGCGGCAACAACGTTGGTATCGTGACCCAGTTCAATCTCGAGACTTTTGCTCACGGCCCCCTCATGTATGGCGGAGACCGAGTATTCACCAACGAAAGTTTCTCAGCCGCCATCGATGCCTTTGTCGACGTAGCCAAGAATATCGACAAAGACCCCAAGGTCGCGCAGTTTCTGTCCTTTGCCATCGATACAAGGAACGGCATGCGACTCGCAGTTGCCGAACTCCAATACTCAGAACCAAAGACGGACGCAGCTATTTTCGACGGGTGGAACAAAGTCCCAGCGGTTGTCGACAACACCAAAATCAACAGCCTGGTCAACTTGACCTTGGCTCTGGCAGCACCCAGTCCAAGGGGTATGCGCCAGTCCTACTGGACCGTATCTGTGAAATTCACAGACCGTGAAATCATCGACCGCCTCGCCGACATCACCTTTGAGTTTGGCGACAAGCTCTCTCACATCCCGGGTATGGTGCCCGCACAAACCATCCAAGTGGTCACCGATCCACAGCTCAAGAACATGGAGAAGAACGGCGGCAACGCCCTTGGCCTCTCCGCCTCCGACGGCCCTTTTCTCATACTCCTCCAGTCGTTCGCATGGATGAACGCCGAAGACGACGAACTCGTGCTCAAGACCGCCGCAGACATGGTCGCACAGATCAAAAAAATGAGCAAGGACATGGGTGCCGAGCACGAATTCCTATACATGAACTATGCGAGCCAGTTCCAGGATGTAGTCGCGAGTTATGGCGAGAGCGCAAAGAAGCTAAGGGACATTGCCCGCAAGTACGACCCCGAGGGCGTTTTTCAGACTCTGCAGCCGGGATACCACAAGTTGAACGAGCCGGAGAGTCAAGAATTGCCTGTTTGGGATCGCGTCAAGGCTTTTTTCAATGAGAAGTTCGCGTGAGGAATGATGGGTTGTCGTGATATCAGGAGTCGATTGATACTCGAGTCTGACGCACGAGGCAAATGATTATATGATCTGGGATGAACTGTTGAACAGTTACACATATACATAGCTTTTTAGAGCGGTGAGAAATTATGATAGGAAAATGTCAATGGTTGGTTAAAAGCATAATGGAAACAATGTGTTGTTCCAAAACTAGTGTCAAACATCAAGGGTCAGTGACGTCATCTGATCATCGAGAAATTACTACTAGACACAAATCCATTGGCAATGCGAACAAGTAACACAGCAAATAACAACTAACATTTTTGATAACCACGCTGAGCATGGTTTCTTTCTGGCCCACTGCTCTAGCGGACCATGTTTTCTTCTAAGAAGCTACGTGACGAAACATGATTGCATAGTCCTTTTTGCCTACATATTACGCCAGGACATTAGGCAAAAAAAGGAAACGCTTTTGGAATAACAAAAAGAAACAACATGGCACCAGGCCATCCAAGTCATAAGCAGCACTTGCTACAACCGTCAGTGAAGGGTATTATCCAGAAAACACAAACATTATGCAGCGCCTTCAATACCAATGCCGTCAAAGATCAACATCAACGAAACAGTTTGAACGTTACCATGAAAGAGAAAAAGAAGCAGCACTAATCGCCAGGATGATACGAGACAGGAGACAGGAGATAGGAGATAGGGAGCAAAGCAACAGGAACCGACGACTAGGAAAGACATGTCAACTGTGCGTCACGCAGCAGCTATTGCTGTTGGTGCTGCTTTCGCTTGTGCCTCTGGAGGTTGTCCTTGCGCGAGAAGCCATCAAGGTTGGTGCAGTCGGGATGTTCGCAGCGAAAGGTGTCCATGATGGACGAGGGGTCTCGGTGTTGAGGCTTGTGCCTGCGAAGGTCCTTTGGGTACATGAAGCCCTTGCCGCAAGTTGGGCACACGTGAGGCCGCTCATTGCAGTGGGATGTCTTCTGGTGACGACTAGCGACGGTCAGTTACGCTGATTTGCATACTCTCGAGACTAGACTCACTTGAGATCGCACTGACGATCGAATACTCCAGTGCATTCCGGCTCGTTGCAGATGAAGCCACCTTCGCGAGGAGGTTGCCGCCTGCTTGAGCGCTTCCTAGACTTGGTCTGGCGCGACGAAGAGCGGTCGCCCGGAGTGTATATACCATTGATGTACGCCTGGACAGTAATCGGCTGCACAGTTGTCTCATTCGCATCAATGCGCTGGATGTACTCGTTCGAAACTGGCCTGGGGTCGCCGGTGACGTAGTTCCAGACCGGTGTCAAGTTCACTTCCGTCTCGTGCGTATCCGGCGGCGGCATGTTCGTGGGAGCGTGGTGTTCGGGCGCTGCTACGTAATTGTACGGCATCTGCGGCTGGTGAGGTTAGGAGGGAGTTGCACACATGCGGGTGCAGGTCTTACCAGAGCCAGAATGCACTGGCAGAAGTCGAACTGCATGCCGGCGCAAAAGTAGCATACGGAAAGCTCGTCTACTGGGTATGTCAAGTCCAATGGACTGATAGGCGGTGTTAGATCCATGATTGGGCCTGAAGCTGCCGCTGGGGGGAGGAGAACAGTGAGCAGCACTGTAAACAGCAGCAATGTGTACATGCTCTGGTGTGAATGTGGATGCCTAAGGAAGAGACTTGGTTATGGTGGAGTATGCGAGGACGGCAGAGGCAGTGAAAAGGACAATGAGGGTTGCAAGACTGTATGGTCAGAGAATACCAACAATGGGGAGAAAAGTGTAGGAGGAGAGGAAGGACTGTCCAGAGAAAAAAGGGCGTGAGATCTGGGTTCGCGGGTGCATGCCAGTGGCAGAGGACTGGGGGAGGCCGGCTGCCTGAGGAGCCACAGGTCACGGGGAGCTGTGGCTATGTTGATGATGTAGGTGCCGACCATTTTAGTGACTTTGGGAGCTCTGCAGCTATAGTTTTGTCAGTTGGACATGTTAGTATTGATGAAAGTGCAACTTTGATGCAATAAAGTGTGTGATTGTGGTGGTTGCGTGTCGAAGGAAAATGCGGCGGCACCGCGCAGCGATCAGGGATGCGTAACCCTCCACTGTCTTGACACCATGCCACTTCGAGATCTGGAGAGGGGTTATGCGGCTCAACTCGGCACGTGACTTACTTACGTCGCCAGTGTTTGAAGATCTTGTCAATTCTTTTCCTATCATGTGTCTCTTTCAGTGTTGCGTAATCTGGATGCCTCCAAGAATTAGTTGCTTGGTAGTTGGCGAAGAAATGGTTTTGCCATCTCGTCTCACGTGCCAACGCGTCCCCAAACCTTCACCCTGCCTTTGTTATCTTTTCACCAAAAGCCCCCACGCTTTACGAATTACAATAGGCTTCGTCATCGCGATTGCGTGTCTAATTCTTTTCAGCTCGTTTTTTTGATGACGCTGCACTGAGTTTTGTTGATTTGCAGAGGAGGTTTCTGGTGCAAAAGTATGCAATCTAGACAAATAGTCTCATGTATGTAATGACAACTGCCGTGGAATTGAAATATTCCACTTGCCTCACGTTCAGGCTAGGAATTTGTGCTGGATATATATTGTAACTTCTCTACAGGCCGCCTATGGCACACCAGCGTCACGAGTCATCCTTACATTGAGGCAACCGCTTCAGCCGTACCATTCAGGTGGATACTTTATGAGGCAAACCTCACGCTTGTTGTTTTTTTGGCTTCGATAGCGAGCATTTCAGGTTTGGCTCACAGCTCCGGTGCACTGGCTCGTCAGGACGCTTCAGGATTTACATTGTGAGCGGCCTCCTAGGCATCCATGAACAAGGGTACCAGCCAAGCTCCACAATGCACCACGTTCCGCCCACTCCGACTTGCCAGCGCTTAATTTCGATAGATACCAGAGCTAATAAATTCAGTGTAATAGGTTAGGATGACAAGGGTCACGCTGTGTGTCAGAAATCTGGTTGTGTACTGAATCTGCCCCGCATCGACTTGCGTAGTACGTAGCCTAAAGTCCTTGACCAAACTGCAGCCTTAGCAATCAGCAAACATACCACTAACAACACAGCGTAGAAGCCATGCTATCAGCCCGGGGGCGTCAGTATGCAGCCTTGGATTTGGCGGCTGGCTACACCAAAGTTCGTGGCCCTTTGTACAGCAAAGGCACCTATCCAGATGGCCTAGTTTCTTTTAAAAATGCCGAAAATGTTAGTGAGCGTCATGTCGAATACTACGAGGTCGTGAGAGAGATGGAGAGTGCTGATGTATGCAACAGTTTCTCATGCATGATGAAGCGCTTGACTATATTAAGACAAAGGTCAGCCTTCACGGACACAATGGTGTATGGTACCTGAGTGATAATTTAGTGCATACCGTCTCTCGAGCCAGCGACTCTGACGTATCATGATGGCCCATTCGGTTCCAAGCGTTTGAGAGCCGCAATGGCTTCCTTCATCAACAAGCGCTTCTCACCAGCCTTAGCCGTAGCCATTGAGCATGTTTCATTCGTCAGTGGCGTGACGGCATTAAATGACATACTGTCACTGTGCATGACCGATGGGGAGAATGATGCTTTGCTTCTAGGCATGCCGGTTTATGGGTCCTTCGCTCCAGATCTGCAGAGCATGTCGAGGTGCGCTGGGTTCCTCTTGGAATAAGACTTAAGATAGCACGACTAACATAGCTCGCAGTTGCAAGCTGGTTTATGCCTCGTTTGGAGACGTTGATCAGTTCAGTATCGATTCAGTCGAGTGTTATGAGCGTGCTCTGCTACAAGCCGAGCAGAGTGGTATCAAAGTGCGAGCGCTTATTTTAGCCAACCCGCACAATCCTCTTGGTGCGTGTGCGGTCGTTTGGTGTCAAAGCATAACAGGCTAACGGTTCAGGGCAATGTTATTCTCCAGATGCGTTGAAGGCAATCTTGAGTCTCTGTAACAAGCACAAGATACACCTTATCAGTGATGAGATCTACGCCTACTCTGTGTATCACACAGATGCCTCGAGCCCAGGATTTACATCTGTACTCTCGCTAGATACGGTTGGTATCATCGATAATAACCTCGTTCACGTAATGTATGGAATGGCCAAGGTAGGAATTCGACATGCCACTTTGCACCACTGACCCCTGACAAACCATTGACAGGACTTTGCTGCTGCTGGCCTAAGATTGGGATGCTTGATCACCAGGAACACTGAGCTAGGACAGGCTGTACAGTCTTTATCGTAGGTTACCATCATTCTTGGCAGGCGATGACTGACCATTGGCAGGCGATTTCACGGCGCGTCACCAATGACCGACGCGATCGCTACATGCATACTCGAGGATGAGGAGTGGCATCTGCAATTCTTCAATAAGAGTACGCATATCCTGCGAGAACACCGAAAGATTGCGGCAGAAGCACTGGATAGTGCTGGTATTCCCTATGAGAGGAAAGCGTAAGTGTTGAGCGTTTTATGGCCTTTCCTTATCAAGAGCTGACGCCTTGGGTAGAAACGCTGGATTCTTCCTCTGGATCGACCTGTCCGCGTGCCTACACAGCGCGACATGGGAGGCTGAAGACGACCTCAAGGATAAGCTCTACGATTTTGGGTTGGAAATGGCAGCTGCGCGCGGATATCATGGGGAAATGCCAGGGCATTTTAGATTCCTATTTTCAGTGGATAAAGATACCGTAGAAGAAGCAGCAAGGAGGATTGTCGAGTTCTACAAAAACAATCAGGTGGGTCGTGCGTAACCCGTCGGGTGCGTAGTATACAATGAAGTCATGGCGCAGTAGATCGAACTCTCCTCCCAAACTTTGTTCTTTATTTTCTAGAAAAAAGCGTGAGAGGCCGATCTTTTCGGATACATGCCGACAGAACGCTTGTGACCACGCGACAGGGCGGTACGCGACGGGCGGATCCCTGTGCTCGATCGTTCCGTGCGATCGGAAATCAACAGGGGCCTTGCGTCATCATTCCTGCCACGGCACTTTCACTTTTGCAAACAAACAACACCACACTTTAATCCTGATATCGCCATAGTTTGATATCTGCGGGCATAGACATGCCGCCCATAATTTCGCGAAAGCGCTTGCACTCTACCTCGCCCGTCCTAGAATCGCCACCAAAACGTGCACGTACTACCCGCAAACCCCCAGCATCCGCGCGCAGAGGCAAAGTGTCGGTCTTCCAGACTTTGGATGCGCCACCAAAGACCAAGCGCACGCTTTCGCAAACAAAGGCTCTATTGGAGGAAGGAGAAGAAGACGGCGACAGTGAATCATCAGAGTCAGAGACTACCGAAGATGAATTTGAGGATGTACCATTGCATGGGGTAAACAAGGACAAAGGGAAGGCTAAGGCACAGCCAGATGAAGACAGCGACGAAAGTGAAGACGGTGACTGGGAAGATGCGCTTGGTACGCATCATTACACAAAGCCAGACAATGGCCCTGCGCCCATCATCACTGGAGATATTGCGTTGACGCTGTCCGCAGCGCCCAAAACTGCGTTCGAAACCAAGCCAGATGGAAAAAAGGGCCCATCAAAAGTCCAGAGACAGATACGGACCATCACTCATTGTATGCATGTACAATTCTTGATGTTCCATAACTTGATGAGAAACACATGGATCCAGGACAAGGAAGTCCAAAAGATTCTGGTTCAAGCCATGTCCCCTGGGTGTTGGCGGGAATTAGAGAAGTACTGGAACGACGCAGGAATACGAGACGGATTCAGCCGGGTAGTGGTGCAGAAACCACCCAGTCCAAAAAAGAAAGAGCCAGAAGCTACCAAAGGGAAATGGAAAGAGAGTGGCAAGGCGGGTGTCAAGGTATATGAGAGCCCGCAAAAGCGAATGGGCGTCCGCAATAAAGCCAAGAGCAAGGGGGAGAAACCTTCCGAACGTGACAAGAGGACCCGCGACTGGGGTGCAGCAGCCGAACCGCTCGAGCCTAACTCTCCGAACCTGTCCGCCGGTGACCCTTTGATCAGGCTTCTCAAATATCTCTCTGCTTACTGGAAGTCCAAGTTTCAAATCACAGCCCCAAGCTTACGAAAGCGTGGCTACCTATCGCCATCAGTATTGGAGGCCGAAATCAAGGCTTGGAAAGACGATCCTAATCACCCCGAAACTTTTGGCGAACGTGTGGAAGACATTACTGCTTTCAGGGAATGCGCAAAACAGTGCCAAGGCAGTAGAGATATTGGAGAACAGCTCTTCACTGCCCTAATCCGAGGACTAGGTATTGAGGCGCGAATGGTGGTCAGCCTGCAGCCTGCAGGTTTTGGGTGGAGTCAGAGTGAAGAAGGGAAACCAAAGAACCTTGAAAAGTTGAATAACTCGAAGCCCGCCGATAATCAAAGTACGGAAAAAGAAACTCCAACCAAAAGTAAGGCTAAGAAACCCGCTACTGCAAAGAAGACGGGTGGATTGATCGATGTCAGCATGGATGACAGTAGCGACTTGAGTAGTGTCATATCTATATCTTCGGACTCTGAGGATAACAGACCACAAAAGAGATCACCGAAAGCGCGCAATTACGGTGAAGAGCTACCATACCCTACCTACTGGACAGAAGCTATTTCACACTTGACACACACGCCCATATCAGTATCCCCACTTCCTCGTACCATTATCGCAAGCGCTGCTTCTCCAGAAAAGCTTATGGATTTCTATGCTCGTGGCGCAGCGGCTGACAAGGCGAAACAAATCTTGGCCTATTTGATCGCTTTCTCTTCCGACGGCAGTGCAAAGGATGTCACTACACGATACCTACCCAAACATCAATGGCCTGGTAGAACGAAAGGTTTCCGCATGCCTGTGGAGAAGGTACCGATTCACAACAAACATGGGAAAGTCAAACGATGGGAAGAGTGGGATTGGTGTAAATCGTTGATGCGACCTTATGCACGACCTCACAACAAACGCCAGCCTTGGGACGAAGTGGAAGACGAGGGTGACCTCGTACCTGCACAAGTAGAAAGAAAGAAGGGCATGGACGAAGAAGGTGGCAAGGAGACGCTACAGGGGTACAAAAACTCCACCGAATATGTACTGGAGCGTCATTTACGACGAGAGGAAGCTCTCAGACGCGGTGCGAAGATTGTCAGGTTCTTTGTCACGGGCAAGGGTGAAAATGAAAAGTCGGAACCGGTCTATCGCCGCAAAGACGTTGTGTTGTGCAAGACACAAGAATCGTGGCACAAAGAGGGGCGAGAAGTGCTGGAAGGTCAGCAACCGCTCAAGCTCGTGCCTATGCGCGCCGTCACCGTTACTCGAAAACGTGAGATTGAGGAGCGCGAACGCATCGAAGGTGGAAAAGTGAAGCAGGGTCTATACTCTAAGGAACAGACCGATTGGATCATTCCCGATCCCATTGTTGATGGCAAGATTCCACGTAACGCATTTGGGAACATCGATGTATACGTTCCAACAATGGTTCCCAAAGGGGCTGTTCACGTGCCTCTCAAGGGCACCGCGCGAATATGCCGCAAGCTCAACATCGACTACGCAGAAGCATGTACGGGGTTTGAGTTTGGTAAACAGCGCGCTGTACCGGTAATCACAGGTGTGGTGGTTGCAGCAGAGCATGAAGACATGCTTATAGATGCTTGGGAAGCCGAAGAGGCAGAGAGGCGAAGAAAAGAAAGGGAGAAGAGGGAGAAGTTTTTGCTAGGGCTTTGGAGGAGGTTTGCGTCTGGACTGAGGATCGTGAATAGAATGAGGGAGGAGTATGGGGAGGATGTGGAGTTGCCGGTCAAAGAAAAGGTATTGCCACCGAAGGATGAAAAGGAAAAGCCTGAGACGAGAAAGTCACAGTGGGAAGTTTTCGAGGCTCAGACTGATTTTGAGGGGGGCTTTGTGCGAGAAGATGTGCAACTCTCTGGTGGTGGCGGTTTTATGCCGGACAAGGCGCATCAGACAGCCGAGGGTGACCTGGACATGGCAGGCGGTTTCCTGCCCGCGAGCCAGGAAGAGGATGAAGAGCTGATAATTGACCATGGTGAAAAGAAAGACCTGCGGGCGCCCGTCATGGAGACTGCACATCGCACACCCATCTCACTTACTCAAGCGTTACAACGACCCCCGAGCGAGCCAAGCGAAGACCCGGATCACAATGAAGCAATGAGTATCGACCAAGACACAGAAGACGAGCACGAGGGAAACCGGAATGACGAGGACGAAGAATACGAGCATTCAAAACTTGAATCGGATCACGGAAAGTCTACAGCTGCCATATCAGGTGGTCGTGGTCGTGGTCGTGGCCGTGGTCGTGGCCGTCCTAGAGGACGTGGCACCGAGGCCCCGGCTCGCTTAACTCGTAAACCCAATTCAACGGGGAATGAATTGTCCAATGGAGCACTTTCCGATGCGCCCTCAAACCCACCATCACCTCCACCGTCTAGGCGGACAGCGCCAAGGCGCAAGGCAGCCAGAAAAAGCGATGCGCACGTCCGGAGCCACTTTTTTGCAGAGGCAAGCGAGGGCGAGACAGATTTGACAGACATGACGGATCGAGCCTCGCCAAAGACGAAGTCGACGAGAGGGCGCGAAGCGGGAAGGGGTAAAGACAAGGGCAGAGGCAAAGCGGGGAAAGCCAAGTAAATATCGTACCAGTGGATTTCCGAAATGCATTTGCACGTTTGACAGCACCAGGCGAGCTGAGCGAGGTACTTGGGTACTGACCAATAGTGCAGCGTGGTGGGGGAGACTATTACGATACTGTTATGATACTAGAGACCAAAAGAAAAGTATTGATTCCAATCCGGAAGATAATGAGACGAGAGAGTCTGCCACCGTTCTCCACATGTCACAAACAGGACGTCTTCGGTATAGTCGGCAGCGCTCTACTATAAGTAGGTATCCCAGGCGCATGTGGAGCCGCACAACCGAGGCCAGCCTGCCAGGCACGTCACGAGTCGGGCGTGTCTATTTGTAGGCGGGCCCAGTCTTCCAAGGCTGCTTGGCAAGCCTTCCGATTTACTTGGCACGTAACAGGGCGCCCGTTTTCCCCTTATTATTACATGAGCCGGCAGCGAACGGCACGGTTGACGGCGGAGAGGGTGGCTTTTTTGGGTTCCAACGTGTGCGCGCCTTTGTTGACGGGGCGTGCGTGCTGTTGGGTCAAGAGTACAAGAAGCAAGACGCTGGCTTGGGGCGGAATATGGCACCACGGCCACATGGCTGGAGAATTTCCGCCCCTGTGATTGGAAAAACTCGACTAACGAATTCTACTATCAAGTGGAGAGCAAATGGCCCGGCGGCTTTTCGAATCTCCCGCACGTCTTCGCTGGGGGGGGGGGGGCGCCGCATCGTATTCGTTCCTTCGCGGTCTTCTTGGCTCAATACATGCATGGCGGATCTCCGACCTAGCTCGCGCTCGTTAGCTTCCTAAATCGTCATGCCTCCCCGTCCCACAGCATGATTGTTGATACCCCCAGTTATAAGTATTTGCTGCCGTCGGCGCCTTTTATTTTCCCACACGCTTTCGCTGCTCGTCATCTGGTTTGCCATTGTTCGTCTTGGCATACTGTCCACTCGCTTTCCTAATCATCTCTATCGCTTAATCTACTTAGTATCATAATATTTCTTACCATCATGCGCTTCTCCGACGTTGCTGCTGCCGCCTTGGTGGCTCCCCTTGTCGCCGCTCATGGAGGAGGAATCCCAGGTGCCCCCAAGCTTTTTGGTCTTCCTCGCCACCTTCAGGACGATTTCAAGGCCCCTGTTGCTGCCCGCACTCTTCGTCACTCTTCTGAGCCCCGACATGGGCTTTTGGAGACCCGTCAAGGCGGCCAGAACGGTCGCTGTGGACCTGGATTTGGAAACGCAAAGTGTGCTGCCGGCTACTGCTGCTCTGGTGCTGTACGTTGTTGACTAGGAAATCACGCCAAGGAGCGATAACACTGACAATTTCAAGGGATATTGCGGAACCAGCAAGGACCATTGCTCAGCACCTGATTGCTTGATCGATTTCGGCCCGGCTTGCGATGCCAACAAGACTCCTAGTGGTGCCTCCACCCGCAACGATGCTCGTCCTCAGAAGGGCAATGTCCCTTACGGCGGCGAGGGCATCTATGTCTGCCAGAAGCCAGGAACTGTCGCCATTACTTATGACGATGGGTAAGTAATTATCCAAGAAACCTCCAGGCATCCATGTCAGTAAACTGACCCGTCTAGTCCTTACATTTACACGGACCGTGTTCTAGACCAATTTAACCAATACGGATTCAAGGCCACCTTCTTCGTTACCGGTATTAACATCGGAAAGGGAGCTATTGACACTACTGCTCAGTGGGCCAATGTCATCAAGCGCATGGTTGCTGAGGGCCACCAGGTCGCATCTCACACCTGGTCACACCAAGATCTTAGCGTCATCACTGAGGAGCAGCGCTATGATCAGATGGTCAAGAACGAAATGGCCATCAGGAACATCATCGGAAAGTACCCGACGTACATGCGTCCCCCTTACTCATCCTGCAATGCCGCATGCCAGGGTGTGATGAAGAAGCTCGGATACGTCGTCAGCTACTTTGACTTGGATACCGTACGTGAAACCTTTTTATCTTTTCCTTTTTTCTTGTATGAGTTTCACATACTAACACATCTCAAAGGATGATTACAACCAACTCAAGAACATCCAAGTCGCCAAGGATAACTTCAAGCGCATCCTCGACTCCACTGCCGGTGGCCCAGCCACTGGTGACCGTCTGGCCATTGCCCACGACATCCACGAGCAGACGGCACTCAACCTCACTGGCTACATGCTCGAGTACCTCAAGTCCAAGGGCTACCGCGGCGTCACCATGGGCGAGTGTATGGGCGAGCCCGAAGCAAACTGGTACCGCAAGACCGGCGAAGTCGTAACCCCCCCTTCCAACGGCGGCGGCAACACCGGCACCCCCATCTCCACCGACGGCCAATGTGGCTCTGGCAAGGGAACCTGTGCCGGCTCTCCCTTTGGCAACTGCTGCTCCTCCTTCGGATGGTGCGGTAGCACCGACGGCCACTGCAAGACTGGCTGCAACTCTGCTTTTGGCACTTGCACCGGCGGCAGCACCTCGCCCTCCAAGCCTGTCTCTACCGACGGCCAGTGCGGAGCAAAGGCTGCCGGTGCTACCTGCCTAGGCTCGCCGTTTGGTAACTGCTGCTCGCAGTTTGGATGGTGCGGTAGCTCCCAGGACCACTGCGGTTCTGGCTGTGACAAGACATCTGGTACTTGCAACTAAATAGGGAAGCGGAACAGATGCATATGTTTTGTCGTTTCTCTCCCTTGTTTTTTTTTGAATACCACGATCTACGCTTGAGCGCCTCGTTGCTGTAATTGTTGCCATATATCAAGAAATAAAAGTATGCTTATCTTGCCCTTATCTCTCTCTCTATATGTGTGTATCTGTATTCTGGGCTTTTTTTTTGTTTGTTGAGTCGTGATGTTGCTTTTTGAACAGTCATCCACGATCCTTTTTTTTTTCATGAACGGCTATTGTTGATGCGGTATGTACGGGGGCAGCCTTGTTGTTAAATGCAAAGTAAGTCCGTGTAAGATTAGTCGGATCATTCGTGGCTTGTTTGATGTGGAAATATTTAAGTGCAAAAGAATGAAGAATTAGTCCGTTTCTCTGGCACTTCGACACAACATGCTCTCTGCTTCACTATGCTTTCTTAAAAACTTCCTTTTAAAAGCAAATGTAACTTTTGACTAATTCCTTACTTGCCATAACAATGGGTATACTTCTCATTTTTCCATTTGGCGTGACCTTTCGTATTTTAGCTTTCATCACTTCTTAGAAACAAAGGGGGGTTTTTTCCTCCGTATTTTTAGGGCTATTGAGTAAAAGTTTACTTTACGAAATACTGTTCCAAGCATGTTGTCTTGATAATGTGATGATGTATTGAGATATATACTATCCCCGATCTGGCGTACATGTGGCACAGCATGATCCACGTGCCCCTACTTATCTTGTCAGTAGCAGCGGGGTTACTGGCAATCGCATCTCACATTACTCGAATAACATAATTCCCTCTTGCAACGTAGTAAGTTTCCGCGCAAACATTCATATTACAAGTCATACATACTTAGAATGCCTCACTCCCAACAGCAGGCATGAGTACAAACGAGTCCAAAAATGAAGCCAGTGGCACGAAGCCGCCCAGTCACTCCAGGCCAAACCATCGGAAGGTCATTGAGGAGCTTCTTGAAGTTGTGCGGAAGCAACAAGCCATCATGGAACATCTTTCTAGAGACCTAAACTTTACCCGCTCCCAATTCGAGACACGCTTAAACTACGACAATGGCGATGGAGACTATACAGCTGACACGGAATATGCAACAATAGACCTCAGGGCGCATGGTATGGATGTTGGCAACGGGATAATCAGTGTGGATACAGCAAGAGATTATATGGGGTACAAGGTTGCTATGGACAACTATGAAGCAGGATTTAAGAAGACGAAGGACCAACTGGAGAAGATATGGGAAGCGGTTGATTTGGTCCAACGCGAGGATGAGTTTGTTCAGAAAAGTTCATTGGCGCTCCCTGATTGGCTGGCAGATGGTTTGGAGAAAGGGCGAAAGGCTGCAGCACAAGAGTAACCAAGAGAACTCTAGAGTTCATCTTTGCTTCGATATATTCGCACTATGAAGCGAAGTGTACATCACGTGGCTGCCTATGCGTCATGCAGCTATTCAACGACACGTCAGCGGCGCCGTTCCGTCCCGCCGCTTACCCAGCCACCACTTACGGTCAAGTAACGACTCAGCTGCAATGGCGGTGAAAATGGTATGTACATGGCTTTCTTTCCAAAATGAGTGATGGACCCGAACGAATCTTGTAGTACGCTGACTTCCTTGAACTTGAATGCCCTTGTGATCGAATTGGCATCACCCTATGCTAGGCGAATGATGGTACGTGCAGATGAAAAGGTATATATACGAGCTATCTAACCCCTAATCAAAAGAATCCGGAAATAGAACTATCTATCAGCCACCTAACATCTAACCTTCCATTTCTACTCCCCGCCGTCAGCAACTCCGTCTAACGCGCCGGCTCCGGATACTCTTCTACAGCAGCCACAAGTAATCTCTGAAGGTTACATTCCGGTAATATACTCTGCGAATAACTAGCACTAGGAAACCCAGCTTGACGCATAAACTTCATCCATACTTCTGGGGGTTGAATGGCATGATCGGCATCGTTCGCCAGCCACCAGCCATCCAACAGTCCAAAGACGACTTCGTGCCAGTCGATCTTGGTGGTGATTTCCGAAAGCACCAAAACGCCGTGGGCGTTTAGCATTTCTTTGATGCGACGGCAGGTTGCGGCTCTGTTGGATGTTGCGTGGACGCAATTCGTGCTGATGACGATGTCGAATTTGCCGATCAGATCCGCGGGAGGGGGAGTCTCTAGGTTGAGTACTCGGAATTGCATGCCGGGGTGATTGAACTTCTTGGATGCGTTGCGGACGAATGTTGGGGAGATGTCTGTGAAGAAGTACTCGATAGGGTGGTTGAGGTTGCTCAGTGCTTCGATGACCCGTTTTGTAGTTCCTCCTGTGCCCGCTCCGACTTCGAGGATACTAATTGGCGCGTTGGCGCTTTTGGCGAGACGAAGCAAGAAATCGACGAGAAGCTCCGTCAGAGTGGCGAACATGGGTGCCTTGGTGTAGAAGTTCCCGATGATTTCTTGGGCGTTTGGGTTGCCAAAGAGGAGTTTGATGGGGTCTTCGGTACCTGTTAGGCACTCTGCTAGCTTCGACCCGGTGAGAGACATGAGTTCTGCCTCGCAGCTGTACTGAGGGAAATCGGCTAAGAATTTGCTCAAGAGCTGAGAAGAAGGTGCGAAATTGCACGAAGTGGATGATCGAACGTAGTCTGAGCCTTTCTTTTCGATGACTCTGTGCTTCTGGAGAATCTCGTAGTACCTCTGAACTACCTTGGAGTGTTTAGGCTGATACGCGAAGCTGGAAATCTTTTGGCCCATTCTGAGTGTTCTGAGACCAACTCCCAATTTTTGGAGCCCTTCTGTCATATATGCAAGGAGAAGTTCATTTTGACGAGCCGCAACTTCACTCAGATATCCTGTATACTGGCAATCTGTAGCGTACACTGGAAGGGAGGATTCGGCTGCTACGAGGGACTTGAACAGATCTGTAATACTTGCTTTCTCCCCAAAATTGCTTGTTGGTACACTTTTCACAGTCGGAATCGGTGGTTTTGAAAGCTCGGGACTTTGCTTTGATGAAGTGATACCAGCCAATCGCATAAGGTCTTTTACGGAATAATCGAGAAGCACATCGGTGCTTTCAAGGTTGATGTCTAAATCATCGGACAAACTCGATCCCAATTCTGTCGTGGAAAGAGAATCAAATCCGAGATCAGCAAGAGATTGGTTCTCTTGGATGCGACTAACATCCACACCACAAAGCTCTGAAATGAGTCTGAACAACTTGGCTTGTCGCTCATCATCACCAAACTCTTCAGTGGCCGAGTTGAGTGTTGAAATAGCAATCGCATTTGATTTAGGTCTTGACGTGCGTATCTCAGATGCAACTGGAGGGGTCGACACGACTTGTTTCCTCGATGTGATGTGGCGTTTCCTAGTGGCTCTCATGGCATCAGCAGACACTATCTGGCACAATGCACTAAGATTCAATGTCTGGAGCTCATGATGAGAAACTGATTTACCAAACTGTTCCTTCAGTTCATCGGAGAGCTCTATCGTCGCGAGTGAATCAATACCGAGGTCGCCAATACAGGTGGTTTGGGGGATAAAGTCCGCTGGTGCGCCAATGTAGGTGGAAATTATCGTCCTCAGCCGAGATTCGAAATCTTCAGATCTGTCTGCGACCAAGGAAGAAGTGGTCGAATAATCCGAAGTGTCTGAAGAGTCGTCGGATGTTAGCTCCGGAAGATTCTTGCTTGTGATGGGCGTGTAACTGGCTGGAGAAAGGGGCCGACTCGGTCCTGAATCGATGTTCCATCCATTTGCTACGTCGAGTATCTGTTCAACTCTCGCTATTTCTATTCGGTGGAACTTGGCACCGATCGCCGTCATGGCGATCTCATTGTCTTTGGTAAGAACAAAGACATCGCCTGTCGCATGTTTACCATTGACGAGCGAGAAGATAGCATAGACATTCCATTCCTTAACGGAGTTGAAGTCGCAGAGTTTGGACATGGTGACGCTTTCGAGTCCCGAAGTTATGAACACCTGATCTCTGGAGCAGGCTGAACTGCTATTGATGAGCAAGCCGGAGACTTGGAGGAACATATCGATAGAAACAGTGTCGCAGTGCTTCTTTACCGCACTCTCATCGCTTCCCATGTGGCTGTCGGGTATGTGGATCGTAGCTAGCGCCTCATTCTTGTTGATGATAATGCTCTCAATTCCTTGTGACGATTCAGCGTAATGGACAACCTTGGAAAAGAGCTGGTATGCTCGTCCACACATTATCTTTTCGGAAGTGGGACTTGATCGGATTGATTCGATGCGCTCCGCTAGGAGAAGTTTGTATGTCGAAAACCGAGGTTGTTTAGCCAGGTGTAGTTTGCCTATTCCATGAACGGTTGCGCGATCTGAGCTATCTCCAGAACCAAGAGAGCTGGAAAGGACGAAACTCCAGCTATCTTTATCTGTTTCCTCTAGAATCAGCTCTATTTCGCGGTCCATATTGAAACCTAATGGCGATTTGAAGGACAGGTCCTCAAACACCATTGACTTGGGCCCAAGCTCCGAGCCGAGAAGCCGGATTGCCATAGCCGCGCATTCCATGTATAATGACGCTGGGAAGAGTGGTCGACCTCTGACTGAATGGCCGCTAATTAGCTTACAGAATCGGGTTGCCGAGCTGTTGACGACAAATTTCTCCGTATTACCAGTAGATTCAACATGGCGTAGTAGATGCACAGGAACATCTGCTGGGACGACCTCCACTTTTTGGGTTTTAAGGTTCTCAAGTTCTCGCTGAACCTCAGTGGCCCTATCTATATTTTCCAGCCACGCTTTGGTTTTTTGGAACTGATAAGGTGGCAGCCAGATGGGTTCCACACCAGCATCAGTCGGGGACAGGAAGGGCCAAGGAGTAACATCATACCCTTCCTTCCAAAGACCGATAGTGATTTGGGAAAGTGACTCAGTAGGTCTCTCAGTACCAGCTGTCTTGATGGCGTGGAATGAGTGCCTATCCGAGTCGGCGGTAGCACGCTTGATCATTGAAACTATAGGTGAATCGAACCCTGCTTCAAGCCAGATGCAATCTCCAAGACGCTCTTCGATCCGCCTAACCGCGTCGACAAAGTAGACTGGTTTCCGGAGGTGCGACACCACGTGCTCGGCAGTGATTGAATCAGTTTGCTGTTGTGTGCAGGGTTCAATGGGAATGGATGCCTCCCTGAAAGACAACGATTGTAACGACTCAGAAAGTTCTGTGCGGAGGGATTCAGTGAAAACAGAATGAAATCCGTGGGTAACATCGACCCTTTGGCTCCTGACTCCCTTGAACGAGGGATGAGTCGCCAAAACCTTTTCCACATCGGCCACTGCCATCTCGTTTCCGACGAGGACCTGACTAGTTGGAGCATTGAAGCAAGCAATCTCGAGAGTTTCATTACCGACGGCTTCGATGATGCTTTGGACAACAGAGACTGGTGCGAAGATGGCAAGCATGGTACCTTTATCTGGTCCCCACTTGGTCACCATAAGTTGGGCTCGAACGGCAACAAGTCTGAGAGCATCCTCAAGGGAGAGCACACCCGACACAGCCAATGCTGTTAACTCTCCAAAACTGTGCCCGATTGTGCAAGCGGGCTTGACACCTGCGTCGATCCAGCACTTAGCACTCGCGTACTGAACAGCCATGGTACCTGTCTGTAGCAAAACAGGGTCGTCGATAGTCGTGTTCTGGAACAAAGCTGGGATGATTGATCGATATCCAAGTTCTTTCAGGATAGCATCACACTTATTGATGTAGTGTTGTAGTCTGGGATTGGACTCATAGAGGGCTTCCGACAAGCCAATGACCTGTTTGCTCTGACCGGCGAATGCAAGAACCACTTTTTTGGATGCGCTAGGGATCTCGCAGAGTGAGATGTCCGTAGAAAGCTGATTTAGTAGGTCAACCATGTCTGAAGTGGTTGTCATCCATACCATAGGTTGTCGCTTTCGCCGTTCGGAGAGGGTGAAAGCGAGATTTGCTAAGTCGATATTCGTTCGACTGATATGAGACCTCAATGACTTTACGTAGGCCAACAGACTCTCTTCTGTGAAGGCAGAGAGAATGATGGGGTACACTACGCCCGTATGCGATAAGGTTCGCCTAGGTATACATATTAGCTTTGACAGTCTTAGAATTTGAAGTAACTTACGCTTTGCTAACATCCTTCCGAGGTCCTTCACAAACAACAACTGCGGCATTACTTCCAGCAGCTCCATAGTTGTTGACCAAGGCTGCTCTGAAAGGAGTGTTCCATGGCTCCAGATTCCTTGCTATAGTGATCTTATCTGGGCCCAAAGAGGGTATCTTGGGGTTCAATTTATTGAATGATACATGAGGCGGGATTGACTTCTTCTGCAACATGGCAATGACCTTGACAAGCCCAGCAACGCCTGCTGCTGATTCTGCATGACCGGTGTTGCCTTTGATCGAACCAAGATACACCTTGTTTAGACGATCAGATGCACCAAACACCTCTCTGATGCTGCTGACCTCTAATGGATCACCTTGGGACGTGCCAGTGCCATGTGCCTCTATGTATGAAACATGGCGTGGGCTCATTTTGGCGCCCTTGAGAACGGATTTGTACAAGTCCACTTGGGCTGGTGGATGCGTCAGTGTAAGATTCTCAGACAGCCCGCCTTGGTTAGTGGATGATCCGGATATGACAGCCAAAACTTGGTCGCCATCTGCCAAAGCCTGTTTTAAAGGCTTTAATACGACAAGTCCAGCTCCCTCGCCTCGGCAATATCCATCAGCTGACTCGTCGAATGGTTTGCATTGACCAGTCGGGCTGAGAAAACCAGCCTTTCCAAGATTTAAGTAATTATGGACACTGGATATGATGTTCACTCCACCAGCAATAGCCATTGGGCATTCACCAGATTGAATGGATCGGCAAGCTCTGTTGATGGCAACGAGAGAGGACGAGCATGCAGTGTCGATGACTTCAGCTGGCCCAGTCCAACCATAGCAATGACTTAGTTTCCCACACAGGAATGCCCGAATGGTACCAACTGCGGAGTATGCAGTGGGTGGGTAGGCATTGGTGTTATCCGCGTACTCGACGTAACTTGCTCCAATGAAGCAACCGACCTTGTCGCCGTTTTCGCGACGATGTCTGCGGAGATAACCCGCGAAATCCAGAGCCTCATATGTCAGCTCTAATAGGATGCGTTGTTGTGGGTCCATGTTGGCTGCTGCTTTGACATTCGAGCGGAAAAAGTTCCAGTCGAATTCGTCTGCTCCATCAATGAAGTTGCCGAACCATTTTGGCTTCCATTTTTCATTCTGCATTGCGCGAAAACTTTCGTGCATGGGTACTCTGTCGAGGCGAATCTCTTCGCAAGTCGATATCCCGGCGGAAAGAAGGTTCCATAACTCCTCAAGATCGTTTGCCTTTGGCAGTCGACATGCAGCTCCAGTAATGGCGATGGCGCTCTCGGGACTAGCATTGAATGTTAGCATTATGCTGATTTGGGCAAATACACGTTCACGGCGCGCTGGTGTTCTTGGAGTTACTTACTATTCGTATTCATCTAATGCGGCATTCTGGATGGCGGTGTAAGCTTCCACTTTTGTCACTTGTAAACGAGCATTGTGAAACGGCAACAGAGAAACAACATCTCCGAAGCCAAACAACACGAATGTGTGGGATTCGTTGTTGATTCCTGCTAGATCTCGTGATACCTCCTTCAGTAATTGATACCACTCGCAGCGGGATGCAAGAGTGGCGTTTATCGCTTCGTGAGTCAGTGAACAGCCTTGTACCAGTTTGCCGTTCAAATTCGATCGCACAGGGACTCGCAGCTCCCTGGCGTCGGGCAGGCTCATTTCGTCATGCCTCTGACATATATCAAATAGCACCTTGACTAAAGACGCGTTCTCTGGATTGTGTACTTTGCCGCGGATATGGATATCAGTGACCGTCAGGCCCTGATCACGTGCCTTATCGGCCACTTTCTTGAGCTCGAGTGCTGGACCTACGATACTGATATTTCTCGGTTCTGTTACAGCCGAAATATAGCACTAGTCACTGTGAGCACGGAGTTATTGCGCAACAAGGAAATCCAATGACGATGTGACAGGCATCTCTGGGCCGGAATATGGCCGGAGCGACTGAGGTCATGGGTAAGACGGGAAGTTACGCAGGGACCGATGAAAAATGACTTACTTCAGGAACATCTCTGATTAGCTCGCTTCCTTGCTGAGAAGACTTTAACCGCACCGCAATTGTCGTCACTCCAGGAACTGATTCATCGTCCCCAAGTTGGCCAAATGCTCCCATTGCGAAGGCCAAGCGTAGAGCTTTACCGGCAAGACGAACGACGTTTTCTTCGTCTTCAGCGCAAGCAATGGCGAATGCTGTAGGAAGGCCTCCACAATATCCCTGCGCACCGCCACCGCTTTTCAGACTTTGTAGCACTTCGGCGTGCGTGAGATTGTGAATTTCCAGCCATTGGAAGTACTGGCAGATATGAATGACGACCAACAGAGGTAAAGAAAGAATACCAGACATTGATTTGGACACGGGCCCAGAGATGCCTTCGGTAACCCATCGCTCTAGGTTGAGGACATGTTGTGGGCCTGTGGTGACTTTCGCAATGTCCGCATACTCATTGCAAAGTGTGGCCCATGTGTCCTTCAGTGATATGATGGCCTCTAAAAGAGGTTGTAGGCGAGAGTTCTGAGTGAGGTATTTTTGTAATTGGGTAAGGTATGCCTCTGTTGGGGCCTTACTCTGTGGGCAAAAGAATGCCACCGAAGGTGCAGAGTCGTTGGATTGGCTCAGCATCGCGGCAACTTTCAAGTTTGGAGAGATCTCTGGGTAAGACAAGACATATGAAGAACGGCAGCTGAGTTCTTGATTCTCACTTTCATGATCATCCCCTTCACTATTTGTACATCTACGATGGTCCCCACCTACGAGCAACCCCACTGTGGGCCAAGATCATATCTTGCTCATCTCGTATATGGGGTCTCTATCATATTCGCTAAGGTTTCCAGACATAGAAACTAATGGTAACTGATTGTCGTTGTTGTTCCTTCATCAAGGCTAGGTTGCGAACTTCGCTGTCAAATGACGCCGAGTGACTTGCCGTGCAAAGGGTCAGGTAGCAGAGAACCACCGAACCCGGATGAAGAGCCGTGCACGAGTCAACTGGGCCGTCCCTCCCGCGTGTCCGTCAATCTAGAGTCATGAGAAGTCCGCTTCAACTCCGCAAATGCTCATTGTCGATCGTGTGGGCAACTCCACTGGGCCCACTTTTTGATCTTATTGCCAACACTTTGTCTTCTGAATCATGTTGGCACGGTGAAGATCAATTGAATCTCATTTTGCACATTGTGATATGTCTCTTGTCTCCAGTAGTGGATGTTTGACAATGATAAAGTTTGTCTAGCATGAATGAGCTTGTTCAGATTGCCTTCATGATTGGATGGCTTATTAACAACGTCATCCTTGACCCACTTGTAAAACATCCGTTCCCGCTCCTTGAAAGAGCCTCTCTTATATCCAATGTTCTCAATAGATGAATAACTAAGATAACACTGGATGCGCACTACTTGCGTTAGTACCACTAAGGCCCGGTTGTATGGTTGAACCTTTAAGAGATCAGGCTAATTATACGAATGGCGCGCCAATACAAATTAAGCCTTCACTCGAAGCCTACTTTTTAATATGTTCAATTTTTCTGGCCTTTTGAAGTAGTAGACTACCTGGCCTTCGCTGTACCCCTTGGTTCACTGAAACTGTCAACACATAACAGCTGAGTCCGCTCTTTCTTCTTAGCTCGATAATGAAAAAACAAGGCGCTCTCATCAAGTCGGCTGAAGACAGGGTAGGGGAAAGATTGGACGAAAAGAGTAGTGATTGAGACCTCTTGAGCCCAATCACTAGTGATCGAAGGGGAAAGCGCACTTCTCTCGTGGGGCCAGGTAGTCGGTAAAGCCGTTGTACTACTTATGCATCGTAGTGGATACTGAGATGACAGTCACCGTGCTCTCAGAAGCGTCGTGTTTGTCCCTCTCGTGTCCTTGATACAAAGTAAGGCGGAGGCAAGAGATTTGTGACAACTTCTGTGGCGGATACGTTGCCTAAGCTGCTGTGTTGTTCATTTTTCATTGAACAACCTGGCGTCTTGGACGATGCTTGGATGAAATTTTGAGCGGTCAGACTCGTCCGTGCGGAGAAACAGCCACAGGAAGATGTTCGTATTGAGTTCGAGGACGATGACACAAAGGCTTGCAGTTCATTTATAGTTGGTCTGTGCGCTTGCCTTTGAGCTAGTATTTCGTAGCCCGCCATGTACCCCAGCGATCTTTGACCCTTGATCCAGTTGCTCAGGGCCTCTTTAAGCTTTGGTCCGATCATCCTTCACATCTTAGCAAGCTATGAGACAACGCCCGTTTTGACCATACATTGTACAACTTCGAATTCAAGCTTGATGAAAAACGTGTACATTGGATGGACCAACAGATACGCATTTTGTTGCTGAAGTCATTGAAAGCAGTCGAGGTCCACGCTGCAAGCTACGAGCATCAGCTTTCCATTCCTACATGAGGCAATGATAGGGCCAAGAGCAACCGGTGAACGTATTGGTGGATCTCGGCATTTCTGGGTACAAAGTGTACTGTTCGCGTAACTTCCTTCCCCACGCAAGTGTAGCGTATCATTTTCGGCGATTTAGGGATTAACATTCCTATTCTACCGAGGACGCGTGGACTCGCGCATAACTACTGATGGCTCTTACTATTTGAGTCCTAGCACCAGCACTGCTCTATGCGTAGCTTACTTGGCTCCTTACATAAATCCGCCTTGCTGACGGAAATCTTGTAGCCAACCTGGGTGGTCAGCTAAAGTCTGGTTCCATCCATCATCTCCATCCTGATAAAAGAGTCTTCGTGACTCTCGTTGAAACATCTCGTCCGTAGGAATGATACCCAAAAGCATCTGCTGTCTCGCAAAGCGGCTGAGATGGCGGGTAAGAACTGTAGCAAAATCATAGTTGTTGTGTAGAGATGGCATTGTTCGAAGCGCAGCCAGAGAATCGCTCAAGTCTTGTTGGTCCTGAAATGGTGCATCATCCGTGGTAAGTGCGGACGCTGCTTCCTCTGATTGGAGGTGCGAGATAAACTGTTTGGTATGGTCAATTGAGCCTGGATTAGTCGCGGAGAAAGGGACCACTGTTTTTGCTTGATCTGCAATAAGATAAGGCGGGAATGCATTAAGGACGCGAGCAGACACAGCAGGCTCAAAGCCATGTTCGCCTGTCCAATCATCCATTGTCTTTCCTTCGCGGAAGTGCGCTGCCAAGTGGTCTGCCCTTTCATCCCAGCTTCTCAGGGCGGCGTCGCAAATGCCGCAGCGAGACTTTATGGGACTCGACTCGAGCTTCCAATCGTCAATAAGAGGAAGCGTATCTAGTCCATGAACGAGGCGGAGATGCTGAACGAGGTGGTCCTTTCGGCGAAATATACGAGGCGTAGATTGGCCGTCATCACAGGCTACGTGGTTATGCTGCTGCAGATGGGTAGGGGTTGGGTCAAGCGCACTGCAGTATGCACAATGAACTCTGCCAGTCAGAGGCAGCACGACAGAAGCCCCATGCGGCGTACACACCCACTCCTCCATGTTCAGATGTAGTGACTTCTCATGTCGTGTCCAATCATACTTGGTTTTGAATGTATCGCAACAAAAGGTACATTTGAAAATACGGTTTGGGTCGTCTGTATTCTTGATCTTGGTTTTGCCCTTTGTACGCGTTCTACTAACTTGGCTGCGACGCCTAGTTTGCGACGTAGCAGAATGGCTTGAATTGGCCGATCGCAACGAAGATTCACTCGCTGCACTGTCAAGACTGGTTGTTGATGATGGGCCTCGATACTTTCGGAAAGGATTGTGACTTGAAGAACGACTGATCCTCGGTGCTATATCTATGGGCCGGCCATCGAGAGCGTCGCATATAGCGGTGAAAGATGCCGCCTCATCTTCAGGTGGCGAATTGCGCCATCGCTGCATCGTCAAAGATTGCTCTTGTTCGTTTTCATATTGAGGGCTGATTGGTATGGCAATGGGACTAGATGTTCCTATTGATGTCCGGATCATGTACTTGCTGCGACGACGAGGAAGCGTGTGCTGTCGTGGTATAGGTATTTGTCGGTAACCTTCGACTGCTTGGTTAGGAGTGACCTCCATTGGGTAGCTTACCGAACAGGTATTGCTTGAAGATCCGAGTTTGCTCCCTGCATAAGGGTCCTGGTAGTTCGTGTTACTCGTCCGGGTGTTGATGCCGAATGTGCGGGGCGGCATGGATGTGGTAAGGGTCTCATCGTGTGTTACGTCTGTAGCCAGGAATTTCTCAAAGTAAGATGCATCTACTTCTTCTTCTTCACCCCAAAACGGAAATTGCCAATCATCCGGTCGCTGCTGGTCCATGGTGGGAGAGAGGGGGGGCAGGGGAGTGCCGGCAAAGAAGAGATCAGACCGAGACTGGCACGATAAGGCAGTGAGAGGATTAACGCTGGAACGGCACTTGTGTGCAGGAAGGTTCAGCGATATAAAGCAATAGGTCGACTGCATAATCTCACGTGTATTCTCCATGAGGCGTGCATATTATCTTCTTGCAAGGCGTAGGGCGTGAGGGAAGTGGGGGTAGCGGGGTGAAGGATTCGCGCTAGTAGCCCAGTGCGCCGGGCGCTGGAAACAGTTCCTTCATTCATCGCTTTGGAGCTCAAACTCCCACTAACCGCAACTTGTCTTTCGTCATGGACAGCGAGGGTGAGAAAGTCCTCGAGGGTATCTTCGGTGCGTCTGCTTGCTCCTTATTGCTTCTCCCTGCTGATGATTGAGCAGCTGTTGCCAAGCCAGCAAACGTCTCCTCTGCAGATGTTCTCCTCAAATTGCAAGAAACTTTTGCACCATCAGCCACATTTGCGCCACTGCTCAGGACGCAACCCAAGCGTACCAGCAAATCGTCTGATCAGGTGTTTCGCCTCGGACACGGCGGGACTCTGGATCCCTTGGCTGCTGGAGTTATTATTGTGGGCATCGGCCGTGGCACCAAACACCTGTCTAATTATCTGTCTTGCAACAAGACTTATGAGACAGTTGTGCTTTTCGGCGCAAGCACGGATACTTACGACTGTACTGGCTCCATAACTCAGGAAGCGGACTACTCACACGTGACAAAAGAGTTGGTTGATGGAAAGCTTGGGACTTTCAGAGGAACGATACAACAACTGCCCCCTCTGTACTCGGCATTGAAGATCAATGGTATCAAAGCCTGCGAGTACGCGCGCCAGGGGAAGGACTTGCCACGAGATCTGGAGAGCCGAGAAATGCATGTTGATGAGTGTACGCTGCTGGAATGGTACGAGCCGGGACAGCATGACTTTGCATGGCCCAGCAAGGTCGAGCCCGCTTCAGCACCCGCCGCAAAAATTCGACTGACGGTATGCTCGGGCTTTTACGTTCGCAGCTTTGCACATGATCTCGGCAGGGCGTGTAATACGTGTTCATACATGGCATCTTTGCTTCGAACACAACAAGCAGATTTCACCACATCGAACCCACCTGAGCCATCGAGTTTGACAAGCGCGCTAACATATGCGGATCTGGAAGCTGGCGAACACGTCTGGGGGCCGAAGCTTAGACCACAACTTGATCGTTGGGCCACTGCCCATCCGGTCGTTCAAGGGCATGTCAATGGGAGGGATGCAAGTGTGAAGCGCAAGACCGAAGAGCAGCAAGCAAGACCGAGGCAACGGTTCCGTGGAGAGTGGGTTGCAAGCACAAAGAAAGAAAGGATCAAACAGCAAGGAGGCAAGTTCAAGGGCAAATGGGGAAGAAAGCTTGCGGCCGACAGGGAGGCAAATAACAACACCAGTGACCAGCCGGTGGTGCCTGTGATTAACGATCAAAAGCTATGAAGATACCAATTTTTGCGAACAAGCCCGAGCATCAGAAGATCGAAATTACCAGTGCGGAAACCCGAACGACGAGGCTCCACAAAACGATTGCGCCGTCAATTTCCCACGTGCGAGACTACCGACACCAATCCACTACGGTAACCTCGGTTTTATGATTCCAAAAGCCACCATGCCGGTCCTGACGCAATAACGGAGTCTTTCAGCTCGAATGGCTACGGCTCCCGATTCATGTTCCGCACCTGGGCATGGCGAGTCCGAAGTCCTTGGCTACTGTTTTGTCCTAGCACTACACATTATGTATAGTGGCGGGACAGCGGGCGCAGGGTTCCATAGCTGGGACGCCGACCGGCCGGACCTCATGTCACTGTATTCCAAACTAAATCGGAAACAGAAATATCAAGCGATTGCGTACCGCTGGACAGACGGTTCGATCGTTGTATCGCGGGCATTACCATATGCAGATGTTCCCACATTCACGTTTACTCTGGGGCTGAGCGGACGCCTTTCGGCGATAAAAGTTAATTGACCTTGGCAGCATTCTGCTCGTGCAATACCTGTCGCACGACGGCAAGCACAAAGTATCCACGGTGTCTGGCTGTCGGTTCATGTTGCCAGCGGGTGGCTGCTTAGTGAAAGCTTGGTAGAATGATACGTTTTGCAGTGCCTAGTTCAGGGAAGAGCACGTAGAGTAGGGGGTAACAAGACAGGAGGAAAGAAAAGGCGATACAGGGCACAACCTTGTTGTTCACTGGGAATTTTGCTAATCTCATGCCGTTGCGTGTACACACTAAGGCACAGGCCGAGAAGTTGATCGGCGGGAGCGAAAACTGACCTGATGTTTGGGATCTAGCGTGACGAATAGTGGGTCGCCTGGATTTGATCGCCGGCCAACCCCGCGGGCCCGCCAACTCCCAACACTCTTACGCAGCGAGTCAAGCAGTCAATGTCAGCCCTTCTCGAACAGATTCCGTCCCCATCAGTACCAATGAATGCACTGCGAACAACAACACCTCCGAAGCCCGCTAAATACGCTCCCTTTCGCACGTGGGACTATCGGTCGAGTCTAGGTTTTTTCACCTCCTTTTATGACGACCCGCCATCACCCATGATTGCGCTATCGGCCATTGAAGCTAGCTCAAAGTTTAAAGTTTGGTACCCAAAGGTTGATATCAGCAGCCGGTCGTTTCTAGAGTTGCCCTCCTTCAAGCCATTCGGATACTGGTTGTTTTGCATTTTACACTACCCGACTGCCGCTCAAAGGGTCCGAAAGTCACTGATTTGCCGCCTGGGCATGCATTAGACATGCAATCTGATGTGATTTGGACCAGTTACGAAAATCAAATCCTATCCCAATAGTGTTTCATCGCTTTTCCTAATGACGAATCATCGCCTGGTAGTCTTCTCACCCGCAACAGCGTGCGTCACTAACGTCAGTGTAAACTGGGGCCACCGAACGGGATTTGCAACAATGCCTTGTCATTTTTTCTATGAGACGGCAAATTTCCTTAGCCTTGAGCAACCATCAAGTATCTTGGCCGCAAGGGTCAACGCTAATGGCGATCTGGGACGCCGTGGAACATGTCCCCGATGCGAGACATGGACGGCCCGAGTAACATTCCTCGGACCTGTGACTCGCGGCAGTGGAATACCTTTCGCCTGTGGTTAGCTTTTCATTATCGCTTCAACTACTATATGCAGCCGTGGAAACGTCAAACATGCGACAGACGCTTATTCTTGCTTCCCCTCTTTTCCTTCTATATCCAGCCGAACCCCATGTATCTCCACTAAGTATACCGACGTGTGTTTACTCGTATCGTAATGGAGATCGTGACATCCATTGTAAGCTCTCATGTCTGCTTACAAAAAAGCGGCCTACTAACCCACTACAGGCGATCCAGGCACTCTTGCTTGGCCTAGCATTTGGTGTCACTTGTATGCGATGTTGGATCCGCGTTCGCCTCGAGCAAAGAGGGTTGACACTGGTCGACTGGCTCGTGTGGGGGGGATGGTTATGCGCCCTTGGATGGTTCAGTTGCTCGACTAAAGCGCTATACATTCTCATCGATCATCCACTGGACGAAGAGACACGAAGCGATTCAGTTGATTACCTCAAGGTACGTGCAAAATATCAAGTAATCGGAAGGGAAAAAAACTGATTGGAGTGCGATTAGACCGTCTTCGCGTCCGTGTACTTCTTCGACACAGGGCTCTACTTTCCCAAAGCGTCCCTTGTGGCTTTCTACTGGTGGTTAATTCCATCGGGCTTTCGACGCCTGCGAATCGCAACCTACGTTACTTCTGGTATTGTGGCTTGTGCGTTTCTCGCGAGCATATTGACGGATACCCTGATTGCACCCAAAATCTCTGACAACTGGTATGATATGAACCCCGCGATGCACCAAAATGCATATTTTTAACAACAATGACAGGTCCATTGAAAACCAGCTCAATTCGACATGGAACGCATACGCCAACTTGGTTGTTAACTGGGTCCTCAACTTTGCCACTGACCTGCTACGTATGTGTGCTTCCGGATACTCATTGCTGACTTGTTGAGCTAACGAGCAATTAAATACAGTGTTCATTCTTCCTTTCTTCATCATAAACTGTCTAAAACTTCGAAAACGACAGAGGATCGGTCTAGTTGGCGTTTTCTCGCTCGGTGCTATCACAATGGCAATTAGTCTGGCTCGCTTCACTGTCTACAACATGAACTACGACGTTAGCGATGCCGATGGAAGTGAGTTTGCCACTGAAGAAAAAACCCAGCAAATTCATCAAAAATTTAGTTGCTAACAAGTGCTACTAGATCTCTGGTGTACCGCCGAAATGTGCACAGCCGTTATCGTCGTCTCACTCCCCTTTTTTAAAACACTCATCATCCGTTCCAGTACCCCCACCACGACGAGTCGCAGCAACACCGGCTATATTTCCGGTCCATCCAACAGGATTCACGTATCTGGCGGCGACGACACGTACTCATCGCATGTGCAGGGTGGCCCCTCGGACGACGAAGTGGAACTTACTTTTCAGGACCGAAAGCGAAGTCTTACACCCCCTGGAACGGTCGATGAGGTTCGAACACAAGACGGAAAAGATAATGTGATGGTTACGACAAAGTGGACAGTTACGAGGGATATGTTGTAATTTAAAAAAAAACGCGTACGCATTTACGGGTTGGTATGAAAGTCGCTGGGAATATATGGGCTGTATATATGTATGTGGCATGGCGACGTGGACGAAGGAGGGAACACCATTGGATTACTTACCCTTTGTATATTATTATTCTTTTCAATTGCTAATGATACCTTTTAGAGGGCGAAAAAAAGCCCTCAGGTTATTCATATTTTCCTGGTCTTGGAGATCTCACCAACGTTGCATACCAAATCGCAACGATACAAGTCCATGGTTATTTGATTTTTCCCAATCACATGGCATACATACATACATACATATCTGATAGTATACCATTCCACCCTGGACCCCTTGGGACCCTAGCACCACTATCCCATGCAGGCCCACCCCACTCCCGAGAATACGAGGCCAATTCCACGTGCGCGGCTCATCCGTCTTTCCCCTCCCCATCTCGTTAGCCCTTTTAACGAGATGCAAAAACTAGCGTTTTGCCATGCGCAACCTTAATTTTGGGTTTGGGGCCGCTGCCATGGGAAATTGCGCCATGGTCGGTGTGCTGGCGCTGCGGGGTGGAGGGGGGGGGGGGGCTTTGTGCTAAGGTGATGTGTGGGGGGTGCCTTCTGCTGTGAAGGAGAGTGTGGTTGGGAAGATACATGGGTGCTGCTGGGT